ACTGGAATAGAGTGAAGATATTGCCTAACATAGCCCTAGAAGTCACTGAAATATTGGCCCCTTCCATGCGGTGCGGGCGGTTACCGTCGCGAAGCGATGTGAATATATTTGATTATGCACAAACAGACACGAACATGTGTACACACTATGGGGCAGCCATAATGATGAGTTTTTTCCACGGCCCTGAGGGAGCGACATTGAATCTCAACTGAGGCATTGGGCTCCATTTGCCGTGGTCTCAAGCCGCCCAGTCGGGACTATGTTGCAGTCCGGGCCTTTGTGCTGCAACAATCTTTGCAAGAATCGCACTGAATGTTTCAAAAAAATGCTTTGCATATTGATTCTTTTGTCCATTCAGCTCAATAGGGTGCAAAGGGCATCAAGTGAGATGATGTGACATGAAACAATGGAAGCGAGTGGCCGGTAAGCCAGATGATTGAACCGCGCAGAAGCTCCAAAGCAGGGGACTCAGTCCTGTTCTTTAGTCATCTGGTCTGAAGCGACATAATATGATATAATTAGTATAATTAGTCCAATGCAACCAGTCAATTTCTAAGTCAGTGTGTTTTGCCGTACTGATCGTACTGTATTGTTTGTTTTGGACTCCTCGGCGAGCTCAGTTTCTGACTATGGGTGCAAGCAGGGAACTTGGAGCTTGCATAGTCTTTTGTGTGCCCGCGTCGCCACCTCTGCTTCTATTTTTTGTTGGGTGTTTGGTTTTCTATCACGGCATTTGTTGTACATCACAGCATGGGTTTCTATGGCTATAGAGATTGCAGCATACTGTTCGACCACCGTCTTTGGGGTTTCCCGGAGGTTTGATTCGACCAGCCTCCAAGGTCATGTCGACAGATATTCGGACAGCCCTTCGACTCCCAAGGCGGTCGCCACAGGGGGCATCGGGGGCCGCGTGGGAGAATCGGATACCTCAGTGCTTTTTCGGACACCTGTGCAGGCAAGTGGCAATGTGCATGTCGCCAGCAAGAAGATTGAGGCGCCAGACAGATTTCGTTTGAATTTTTGCTAATGGTACTTGTAGTGAAGTGGCCATTCAGTTTCACAGCGCGGCAAGACAAGGGCTGCAGGTATTCGTGCCACTACCAACTCTTGGGACATGCTACTGTCAATTTAGCGTTTTGGTTTGTATAATCTCGGAATTCAATACAATCCCTGTCTTCAACAAAATGCAATCCAGTAGCTTTATCTCTCTCAATGTCAGTGTAAAGCTTGCCTGATGATTGTTCTAATTCTAGCTTTCCGTGCTTTCCTGCGTCAGTTGGGCATCAATCAACTACAAGTTGTGTTCAATGCAGATTGGGGGAATGCTATTTGTGAGGAATGCCACTGACACATGAGGCTTCTCGTGCATTTAAGCACAGCAACGTGTTGCTTCGCGAGGCAGAGGATCAATGACACGAATGACAGAACTATTTGTAAGCACCGGTCATAACTTGAAAAACCTGGCCTGAGTTTCTTATTGCTTTGCAGCGTTGTGACAAACTTCGATTTCTGGAACTCTGTCCGCTTAGCAGCTAGACCTGTCTATCGACTCATTTCTGGAGGTGGATGTCATGATCATTCGCATCACTGGGGAGGCACCGAGCGAATTCACCTGCGACGAAAACGATGGCAGCGAATCGAACTGAACATTGGACGTCTTCATAGTCTTGATTGAACTCACCACTTTCTAGGTCTTTCTAGGCACAACGAGAACCTAATGTCAGAATGACACATACCATTCTTGGCTTTCAGGAGGTGGGCTATTTGCACATGCCCATCAGCTCGACGGTGAAGGACTGCGTGAAACTCATAGTGCGCTGCCAATGACTGTCCTCCCAGCAGTGATCAGGATGTGCAAGAGCGGCTGCAAGCCGCATCCTCAGCTCATTGTATGCCGGGCGCGTCGTACCCAGGGAGCACAGGTCACATGTTCTTTGCCAAAAGTTCTGTTCAGAGTTGGTTCACCAAAGAGCTGTTTGACAGATGTTCACAGAACTCCCGGCACAAACAAGTTCTCGTGTCAACCAGTTCTTGAGATCATGGCGCGCCTTTTTTGTCCGTGCTTTTCCAGCTTCGCTTCTCACAATTCTGCATTTCGAGAGGTGATGGAGCAAGTTCCAGTGGCAATCTCAGTGTGGCACAGTGTAGCTGCAAACCAGCAAGCAGTCATGGCATATATATATATATTGTTATATATTTATGATAGTTATATATGCTTATTGTCAAAGCTGTCATTCTTTCTTCTCATGCCAGATGCTGCTTGTTGAGATTCATTTGTTCAGGCAGAACGGCAGGTCCTTTTGCTGGACAACAAGGAAGTGCCTGTTGAAGCCTTACTATTTTGCCCGGGAACAAGCTCAGAAGCAAACAAAGGAGTTGGATATCATGAGGAACAGACACCGAATTGCTGAATTTGCTGCATGTTGCCAGTTGAGGCGCACACTGCGGTGAAGAACCTACGCAAGGATCGTGAGAGCATCGTTGCCAGCGCCCCGGGCAAGGAAGACTCCGACATTTGAAACATATTACTCAAGTTCTTTGCTTGCATATTTTTGCGTTGCCGATGCCACTTTCAAGTACTGTATATAATATACTGTAATTACTTTATTCAAAAGATGAACCCCTTCTGCCCTTCTGTCCATATAATTATGATCATATATACATATAGCGTAATTATACATATGTTTGCAACATCATGTCCACTTGTGTCGCCGTGCTTCAGTACTTCACACTGCTCTACAGGCAGGAAGCTCAGTGAGTCTGGGACGACCATGATTTTTTGTGCTTGGCCTTATTTCCACATCCTTCGGTTTTTCAGTGCTACCTCAGAGAGCACAAGCGTTCCAACTGTATATAGAAAGAGAGGCGATTCGCAATATCCCACGACCATCTACTACGTTGCAAGAGCAAACCGCAGCATAGACATGATGCATGATTCCTTTGTTGGTGAGCGTACCTAATCTCACAAGGTTGCAGATCAGCCAGAACGTTCAACAATGGATCGCTTGATCGCCTTGATTTTCGAAACTCTCTTGAAGACGCCAACTTGTCTTCTTGACTTCCCACCGCCCGACCACTTTCTGCATGTGCAGCTACAGGACAAACAGACTCATAAGACTGTCACAAGTCAGAGGGGAATAGCTATGAAATGGTAGTAACAAGAAGCTATAACGAACAAGTGCATCGCTTCTAGTAACAAGTGCCTTACTAGTAGTAACATTACATCGAGCACCCGGAGACGGCTTGATTGATCACCCAGGTCCGATGCTTTGGTCCATCGGATCGAGGCAGGGAACGGGCTCCGCCGGGTCCGGTGAGCACGGGCTCCGCAGAACACGGAAGGCGAGCATGCTGAAGGTGGCACAGTGCATCCCTGCGGACTATGAGCTGACATCGTTGTTGGGTGGGTCTGGATCCCTGACTCGCTTTGAACTGAACATGAAGGCAAACAGATTTTTACGAGATTGTTACCGGCGGTCAAATTGAAAGGATCGACAAGGCTTGGAAGGATTTGTTCATGAACAATATTGCTCAAACATATTGAACAACAGCAGAAATTGGCGTTTTTGAAATAGTCCATACAGACAAAGGCACTGAAAGTCACTGAAGATGACTTGACGGGCCCTGACCGGACAAGTACTCACTGAGACTGAGGAAGTTGTCAGATCCAGCTGTGTGCTTGATCTATGGGACCAGTGGCTTTGATAGCACGGTGAGCAGCCAAGGGGGATTGCAGAGAACCCTGACATCCATTTTGAGATGCTTAAGAATCATGTGTACTCGTTTGCTACTACTATTAAAACCTCAACAATAATCAACAATGTACACATCTATCTATATAAATAATATATATCTAAGATCTATCATATTATACCATGATCTATCCCTTATATTTAGGGGACACAATAATTTTACTTATATAGTTCAAGTTCATGTATATTCCTCTTAATTGAGTCTTCTCAAGACTGACTCTAAAGCCTAACTCCTGGCCCATTTTAACAGTCTTTAAGCACAGTCTTTCGCGCAGAGCCTTCTAGTCGCTAGGTCGCTCGTCCTGGCGACGGTGCTCGAAGACAGGCATCAAACTAGTTAGGGTGGGCGAGACTTCTCTCAAGCGTTGCAACTGAGTCCCTGCCTTCCAAGCTTGACTATCAATGTGCAATGGAGATATCACATCTACTGCACGTCCGCTTGAGCAGCACATCCGCTCGTACGGCGAAGGGCCAGCGTCGTACGGCCATTGCTCTGCAGCTCTCACAATTAAACCAGGCCATGCGCTCAGAGTCCTCAGAGTGACAGGGACATTTGCTATTTGTTGTTTTGTCAGTCAACACGTCGAGGTAGCAAAGACTAGACATATGTTTGCGAGCATGACACGCTGCTTCTACGGTGACTGAAGACCCAATGACTCGCAAGGCGCAGGCTTTAAGCTCTTTGGATGATGGTCCGATGAGTCAAAGAGCAGTTTGTCTGCACTGTGAGACAGTTGAATTGAGGGCAATTGGACATTCTATGACATTGTATGTCCCATGAAGGACTGTTTCAATCTGAAGTGATAAGAATATGAAATTATGAAGCTGTTTTCAATCATATTCTCAGATGGACTTTCTTGGATGTTTTTGCCGCATTCTATCTATATAATTACCTGGTTCTCCTGTATATCTATTCTTGTTTAAGCGTCTTCAGTGGCGGTTAGTTGTCTCTGATTGAGAAGAAAGGAGAGTTGAATGGCTCCAAACAGATGGTTAAGGGTTGAAGTAGACCTATGTTTGAAGGGAAAAGGATTGGAAGTCCCCCGTCACTCGTTGTGCTTGCTGCACACAATACTGAGGCATTCAGTCCAGGATCCCCACGGAGACAGTCATTGCAGGTTAGGCTGTGGGTTTGAAGTTTTCGTTCATGTTCCACTTCATATCGCTTCCAACTCTTTCTGCGTGCATTCCTTGGTTGTGCTTTGAAGAAGACTCCCTTTGAAAGCTCCCAGAACTTTCAATGGACATTCAAGAAGCCCTTCTGTCACTTACTTATTTGTTTGTTGACACATTGCGTTGGACCAGATCGTGATGCTGGATCTCATGAGGACCATGATTGAGGCAGAATGCGGCCCTGTCGCTGTTGAACATAGAATGTTGTTGGGATATAGAGAAGACTTTATGGAGTATGAACATACCCTTAATATGCTTGAATTCTGGAGAGTTGATCCTCTAAATGTCAGCAGACTGTGAGCTTGGCAGCTTGGTACAGGCTGCACAAATCTCCCGGTAGATTGAAATGTGGAGAGAGCAAATAGATAAAATAAAACACACAAGAATGTGACAGCAAAGCTTAGAGATGTCTCGTTTTGATGTCGCGTTTTCTCTGATTTGTGGTGTCGAAAGCAGTTGGCCCAGATCCTTCGGGCACACTCCTGGGGCACACCAAGAAATGGCAGCTATGCGGTGCAGGCACCGGGGGGTGAATGAGGGGCCGATCTGTCAAAGCCAACCCTGGAAATCGGAGGTCGACTTGGTGCATCTTTTGGGTCAAAAAGAATGGAAAGTGATCGATTGGAGTTCGCCAAACACTGACAGAATTGGAAGGAGATGAAAGAGCTGAGCTGCGTAGTTGACACTCCTTGCAGGTTGACACTCCTTGGCAGATGCAAGTGGTCTGTGAGATCTTAGAGCAGTGGCCTCACCAGCCTCATGAGAGAATGGTTTGCCTGGTCATACTGGGGAAAGAGCAGAACAGAGGGTTTGTTGGTATTGACATGAAAGTGTGTGAGACTCCTTTCATCTCCTTTCTGTGGACCCGAGGTTGAGCTCAAGCCTTTTGCGCAAGCCGCTGGTGCCACAGGCAGAGCGCTACCGATTTGAAGAACTGCGTAATGAGGTGAGCTCCGCACAGACATTGAGAAGTCGCTCGATCATACTCGGTCTTATGGGTGCAAAACCCGGTCTTATGCAGCCTTAATGGGTAACCTTTTCTGATTCCTCCGGGGCCAAAAAAGAAACTTTCAGCTCTGCGCATGGAAGAAAGTCTTCAGGCCAATTTGTGTGTATCCATGCGGCTCTTGGAAGAGCTGGAGGAGGCTGGAAGAAACTCCTCAGCTTCACCTTGTATTTTCTTTATCTTTTCTGCACATCGGCACATTCCAGCGTTTACCATTGTGCCCCAGGCTGGTCTGCCAGCCACCTATCAACCGGAATTTGGCATCCGGAGGATGACGAACCAAGGTGAGCTCTTTTGCTGCTCTACCCGATTTGTAGTGCATGTTCTGCTTCTACCTTTGTCTCCACAATCGTTCGGGAGTTGATTTCTCCACGCTCGTTCGGGGCCGCAGGTAGCGTTCCTCACACGCCCCACACGCCGCACACAGCAAGCTCGGCCACTGATCGCTCAGTGACTGATCGCTCATTCACTGATCGATCAGTGACTGATCGGGACACCTTAAGCAGCAGGCAGACTATGTCTGAGAAGGACAGTCGAGTTTATACCTTTTTCTCTTTTTGCATTTTTTTCTTGGCTTGGCATGCTAACGCGCTCAATCAAGCTTGAAGAGTTTATGTGGTCTCAACTATGAACAGACTCCACAGTTTTCACTCAGGTTTGAATATGTTTGAATGTCACTGGTCATTCTGCAGCCTGTTCTTGATTTACAGGACACATCTCCACATCGAAGGTGAGCGACTTAGGTCAGTTTGAAGCTTTGCAGAGCGGCAAACCTTTTGCAAATTCAATTGAATCTGGACACTAAAGAAGGTCCTTTCAACTCCTCAGAAATTCGAACAGTACTTGCCGGATGGATCCGACCAAAGAGTCAACTCCCAGCGATTCCGTGGTCGCCAAGCTCGACCGCGCTTCCCTTCGAGCTCAGCTTGGGGAGACTCCACGGTGCCAACTGGTCCGTGCCCTCTTCGGTTCGTGTTTGTGTGGTCGCGGGTCGAATGATTCACGCGATGCGACTCGGTCCAGTAATTACTTTGGACATCTTTGGACGAGAGGTGCTTTCAACAAAGGCAGAAGTGCAAACCTCCATTCATTGGATGCAATCGGCATACAAAAGTCTATTTCTTGATCAGATTTGTGCTATGACATGGTGGTGATGATGATCATCATCATTCTTGTTCTGATCATCTTCCGTAAACGGCTGATCCCCTTCAGACCCTTCGGCCGCGCCTTTGCCCCACTCCTCTGCCTCACTGATGCAGCATCTCAGCTTTGACGTGCACCATTTGGCTAAAGATGGTCATCATTCCGGTCAACCCTATTTACATGATCAAGACTCCGGTGTTGACAGCACAAGTCTAAGCAATTGGCATCCATCAACATAGACAGTAAACGGAAGACCTTTTCTGTTTGTCCTATAAGGTGGCTGATGCTAGTGTTTCCAGCATTTTGGAGTCGACTCTATCATGAAGCAGGATTCAAAGATGTTCTGACAGTAAAGACATGTTCTGACAGTAAAGAAAGGAGAAGGAACCGTTCCCGTAACAAGTGGCAAGTAGAGCCACAAGCGTATTGAAACAAAACACGATAACACAAGTGGAACACATCAGCCCAATCTGATTACTCCGCTACCTTTGAGAAAGGACAAGCAAAATTACCAATCCATGTGCTCACTACTTCCTTTCCAGGAAAAATGCGATGAATGCTGCTTCTTGATATGTTTCATTCTTCAAACATCGTCCAACCATATCCTCCTAAATATATCGCTGCCTGCTGAAAAGAAGAGAAACCCCGTAGGTACTGCTCTTTCAAGAAGAACGAGGATGCTACTATTCTCTTCCTTAACTCCACAAGCAAAACGAGAATCGCTTCCCTTCAGTAAACAATTGCCCCGTCCCTTTTTGCTTGACCTATACCTTCATGCGTTCAAGGATATCAGACAGAGTGTTTCACTTTTTAACCTGCCTGCAAGAAGCCAACTATACATGTTTTTCTCTGTCTCTTGAGCGCGCTTTCTTACAGGAGAGGTCAAAACTGTCCCACTGCACTTCCTTAGGGAAAAAGAAAACATGGAGAAGTCTGTTCTCCTGATTGCCCCTGTTTCGATACAAGAGGTGAAGCTAGTGCTCCTTGCTACAGTATCCTCTTGACCAATCGCCTTTTTACAATGCTCTTTCCGTTGCTACGTACGAAAAGGACAATTGATGATACTGCTCTTCCTGCCTGCGATCATGTTTGCAGGAGGAAAAGAACAGGAGATGCTAGATACAGAACGTCCCTCTATCATATACAGTATATAGCATATATATACATGTCATATTCCACTGAGTGAGATGAGCATGTCGTCAACCCGGCTACGAGACGGGTTCTGTTACCCGAGGGAAGCAGATTATCAACGTGGCCTTGTCGCTGTTGCTGCTTTTGTCCGCTCAGTCCAGGAGAATTCGCTCGCGGGTTTGACCGGTCGAGGTGGTTTGAGCGGCTCAACCGGCTCGGTTCAAGGACCATATTTGATGATGTTGGCCTTTGAGATTCCGGCATGCTTAAACATGCTTGACCCAAGGAGTCTTCAAACAGAGGCTCAAAAGAAGACCCAGCGACCTGCAGGTTTTAGCGAATTCCCCTTTTTGTTCCAGTGGGTTGAGATAGGTTTTCTGCTTTTTTGGATGTCCAGGTTTGAAGAAGGGGAAGTCACACCTTTCGAAGGTCTAGTCATCTTCCCAGTACGATTCCCAGATACACCAATCTACCATGATGATCCATGTTGTATATATCCGCCATGGTCCTTTTCACAGATCCTCACACAGTTTTCTTTTTCTGATTATTTGATTCACAGGACTTCTACAACGAGTTCTTCCCGGTGAGATCTCTGGCTGCTGCCAACATGTCCTTCCTCTTACAGGCGGCATATCTTTGGATGATGCAGGGTTGCAGTGCAATGCTCATAGCCACTGAAGGGTACAACAGCAGAGTGCACATCACAAAAATACTACAGTATAAACAAACTTAGATTACTCTATTACTTTGCCCAAGGTGTTGGGTTCTGCTTAAGGATTTTGGTCGTTCCAACTCACTCATCCTGATTATCAATCCGAATGTGGGTTTTGTTGTTCCAAGACAAATGGATTTGCTGTGTTTTGTTGTAGTTGTTGATTCGGTCGGTTCAAGGGCCACCGACTACCGACTGAAACTAACTGTGCATGGCCCAGAACTGACACAAATATCTAAACTTGTCTCACATTTTGAAGGAACGATATGGAATCATAGAAAGCTAGTGTCCCCAATCAAACTCAACTTAGATGTGGCGCCGGTCGGCTTCGTGTCCCACCAGTCCGCTTCGCTGCAAATCCCTTAGATTCATGCCCCCTGACAAAACAATATCATTATCAATAATTGTGTACTGGCCCACTTTGCTGGAATGTCCTTAGATTCACCCCCCCCGTGAATTTAAAGACTCCGGTCATTGTTCAATGGCAAGAGTTTCCTAAAATTCAGGCCACTGTCCCCCTGAATGTAAGGAGTTTCCTGGCCCACGTCAACCGAAATTCATTCAATTCAGAATTTAAAACGATTTCAATCACTGCCGGAGCCAGACGAAAAAAACAAATAGCTCAAGTACAGGCCTGAAAGCTTCAATTCACGAGGGGTTTGAATTTAAGACAATTTAAGGAAACAGCAAAATACTAGGTCCATGCCCCAAAGCGTATCATCCTCAAAAAAGGCGTATCTTTGGGCTGTGGCCATGCGGAGTAGCATTCCAGCAGTCAACTTTACAAGATCACATGTCTTTGGATGATGATCTGTGGCCATGGGGAATGGCTAATTGGAAGTCTTCTATGCATTTGTTGAAGCTTTTGTTTGCGCATGGGGGCTTTAATGCTCATCAGCCCATTTTAGGTCAAGAATGGATGAAAGGCAGCTGGTGAGAACCATTGATTGGTAGATGTATTGCGCGTCGCCTCGCGGAGGTCTCGCAAACCCTCGCGAAGGCCTCGCAGAGGGACCCAACATACACATACACACCCACTTTCTAATATATATGACTATATCTGTATATTATACATATATTTATCTCATTACCATGGGAGGTCATTGCTTCTCAATAGTTGACTGCCACACTGAAGGACTGGTTGAAGAGGCTGTGGCCATGGGATTTCCACCCATCATCTAGCAACATGCTGTTTCTACTGCTACGGCCTCCGGCAAGAGCAACACGAAGTTTCATACCTAATGCACAGTTTCAAGATGTTACAAGGGTTGCTTGAAGATGCCGTGGCCATGCGGGTTCCATGGGTCAACTATTTAGACTTATTGGGCACAACCATGGGCTTCCGCAAGGGAGTTCAATGTTTCCACATGAAGGATGGCAAATTTTTAGATTACTTGAAACAGCTGTGGCCATGGGGTTCCAGGTGCGTGATGTGCCTTTCGTAAACATGATGTGCCTTTCCCTAAACACTGTGGCCATGCAGTGATGTGCCTTTCAGACACGCGATGTGCCTTAGGGCGCCCGCTTGTAATTTGAGATACATTTACAGAGACAGAACTGCAAATCACATGACATACTTTCAACATCAGCGTTTTGACGTGTGTGTGTGTGTCCATTCAGAAACAATCAATTGGAAAGCCGAATTTGCAACAACTATAACCTACTTCAATTTTTCTGCAAATTCCTAAACAGACAAGCAATACATATATATATAATTATATATAGACATCACCCCACCTAGCAATCCGTTAGCTCCTGCAATTAAAGTAACTTTTTCAAAAACAACCCGTGTGACCGATCCTCAAGCTTGAATACCTTTAAAACTTCTTTCGTCTCGACTTGATAGAATTGCTCGCTTTTGGTTGTTGCCAGTGCTGGGCTCCAACACATTGTTTGCGTTTGTTTTCACCAGAGGCGCCACTCCGGCAGTACACGTATAACACGAATTAATAGCCAGACTTGAGCAAACTGTTTTGTTTGCATCCAGCTTGATATTCTGGCAGTTTTGAAGTTCAGGAATCGATTTGATTTTGTTCGCACAAGTCCTTTCCCATTCGCTCAATTTCGCCCTTGTTTCTATCCAGTTGTTGCACAAGTACTTGGAACACCATTCAATCCGATGAATTCGGCCCAGCGCAATTCAGGATGGAAATGTCTGAGAAGACAGAAACCTGACTATGTTTGTTTTTTGAAAGAGGGTGATGCAGGCTCCCGCAACCTTAAGCACAAGCACCGAACCGTCAATTCAGGGCAGACCTTAAATTATGTAAGTTAACACACACACAAGCACCTTGTCATTAAATTATGGTGTGTATATCTTCCAGTTGCTCGCTGACCACTCAACAAAGCTCCACTCTAGTTTCTCCAGATCCAAGTCAACGTGTTTGTATTGTTGTTCTCGACATGTTTTTTTTTTACAGAGATTGATTTGCTTCGAGGCCGAGAAAGCTTTCAAGGAGTCCGGAAAGGCCAAGACAGTCGACTTGGACTTGGGATTCAATTAAGTCCTTGGACTTGAAGCTTCCTTTTTCGGGAGCTTCTTTTTTCGGGAGCTTCTTAGAAGAGTTCGATTTGGAACGGGAAGCAGGAAGCGTGCAATTCTTGGATGCTGTGGAGGAATGAGAGGAATGAGTAGGATGTAGTCTCCAAAGCGATACAGGCCCTGCAAAAACCTGCACATATCACGCAGACTGGTCAGCAGGTGCTGAAGATCTCATTTGGCACGGGCCCTTACGGTTTCTTCCAATTTGACAGATGTTGACAGTCTTGCACTGCCCGATGTCAAGTTTTATGTACATATTCAATTGCTTATTTCTTGCTGCATACGGCATACGCATACACCTTCTGTGACGTGGACGTGGTATCTCTGATAATTACCATCCTATGTACCAATGACATCATGATGAGATTTTCTTGAAGAGTGGAAGCCCCACACAGAGCATGCCCACATGCACATCCAGGTGTCTCCAACCCAGGGGAATCCTTTTCCACAATTGATAAGCAGGATGTTTCAAAACCGAAAACCATGTCCATTGCAGACATGGTCACAATGCTGACTGAACATCTTAAAGCCGAAAATGGTCACAATGTAGCCGAGGCCTGGAGAATATGTGCGAGGTACCACCCAACTGCACCACCTTGGATGATGTGCTTGAGGCAAAGGTTGCTTTTTCTGCAGATGTGTGTGTGTGTGTTTTTTGTTTCCTGAGTTGGTTCATTCTTCTTGGTTTGCTTAAGGTGATACCGTACAGTAAGAGTTACTTTTTGCATCGCCGTGCAAAAGTGGAAAATCCCGTTCTGCGGCCTTGTATTTTTCCCATTGGCCTAGAGAAGCAACATAGGGAGGCTTCAGAGACAACTTGCATCACATCGCACAGAGGCGACACAAACAGCTTGTGATCAGCTCGTGGCAGGGCACTCCAGAGAAGACGTAACATGTTGTTTCCCTTTTGCAGATGCAAACCATTCAACAGATGTAAACCATTGAACCCCTTTTCAAACTTTTCCAATGACGTTTGGGCAAAGCCAAGAGGGGCAAGCGGGAAGCACTTTGATGTTGACGGACTGAGGCACTCGCGGAGAAAGGAATTGCTATCGTGAACCCGCACGTGGAGCCGGAACCCCAGGAGAAAGTCCAAACAGAAACACTCAGGACAGAAAGAGGCGGGTGCACGCGAACACTGGAAACCAATCTTCCACAATTGTAGTAATTATAGGACCTGCTTAGCAGCGTCTAGCAAGCACATTGAGTCAGATAGCAATTGCATGCACAAAACTCACTCTCAACGTGGTCTCAGAGAAAGGGCGACTTGAAGCAAGAATCGCCAGCAGGTTGGCTGTGCAACCAGTGGGCTCTGAAATCATCGCACCCTTGGAGCGTCGTTTTGCGCTCCTTGCCTCAAAGAATCATGCTCAGGTATGTTCGGTGTGCAATCGATAGTGCTGGTCTCGGTGTGGACTGTGTCGCAAAGAGGACGAATCAGCTGACGTGCAATAAATCTCTCACCAGACTTTGGGATTATGCTCAAAGGCTATGTTAACTCCCATCACTACCGCTTTTGCAGCAAGGTTTCTATCGTTGTCCGACAGTTTTCCAAGTCAATTCTGTTATTAATACGCATGTTACTTGTACATTTATACAGACATCATATTTAGACTCTTAGACGACAATAACACTATGAGAGATGTTATGGAGTATTCGACAAGCTTCCTTGCAGTTCACGATTTTGCTGGCATGTTCTTTTACTTTCAAGTGTTTGTTTTTTGGTTGTTCCTTAAGGCGCTGGATTGGCAATGCTAAGCAGCTGCTTGGCGAGGACGACGACTTTTGATTCTCATTTCGTTGATCTTCTATATTTTGTATGTAGATGCCGCAGCTTGTGTCAGCCTTAAGCTCGTTAAAATTCAAAGAGAGTCCGGAAAAGGTTCGCTCAGTGGTTCGCTCTTGGACCATTTTTTGACCCAGGTCCCCCTCCGGCGGATCCGGTGCAGCGGCTCCACTGGGCAGAGGCGCTTTTTGAGCCGACGAATGATGCTGTTCGCTCTGACGTCTATCCGAACGCGACGTGGTCACGGGTGCCATCGCTCAGGTGATCATGTCGATGCAGTTGTCGCCGTTGCCCATCTTTGATCAGACCTTGAGGAGAATTGCCAGGCTGGAAAGAACCGAAGGTATCGGATGGTATCGGGAGAGTGAAGGAAAAGGAATGAAAAGGACATAAAAGGACATGAGCAGCATTTCGGGGTGTACACTCGTTGCTTTTCAAACTCTGAGCTTTCTGAACTTCTAAACACTGAATGTGAAAAAATCTGAGGACGGAGCAATTCCCACGCTTTCCTGACCACGAATCATCTGGAAGGGGGGAAACCATGATCGCCACGAATCAGCACGGCCGACAAACCAGGTGCATTGATCAAGATGAGTTGGCAGAGATCGCCAACAAGCCAGAGCCACCTGAGGCCGTATTGGAATCCGACGGGTGGATGCCGTTCGGTCCAAGCGGTGCGTGGAACTGAACGTCGCCAACTGGTTCTGACCGACTTCCGGAATCTTCCGGAATGGATGCGGTTTTCTATCAGAGCTCTTTCAAGAAAAGCAGCCAGCTTTTCACTCTTATTGCTCGAGAATTGTCAGCTCTGAAGGGCCAGTAGGTTCAGTCGGTTAAGTTATGTTAAGTTGCATGAGTGGAAGGAGTACCGGACCGTATATTGGAATATATCACGAATCTTAATGATTCAGGCTTTAAGTTATAATATCAGTACATTTGCAGCTCCTGGCTTCGCTACTAGTAACAAGGGCATCGCTGCTTACTAGGAGCAAGGACGCTACTAGGTGGAGGCCATCACTACTCGTAGCAAGGACGCCGGCCTAAAAGAAGAAAGAACAAGTCATTCATGGAGTCTTTAGCTGTTGCGCTACTAGGGGCTCCTGGCCTTACTACTAGGAGCAAAGATGCTACTAGGGGCTCCTGGCATCGCTACTAGGAGCAAGTCATTCATGGAGTCTTTCGCTGTTGCCACAGCGCCGCGGACCCGTCCAGAACATGCTACATGGCTCCTTGGGCACCGGTGTTGAACGCCTGTTTGAGCAGCTCTCAGAGGGACGTGCGAGTAGTGTTTGCGGAAACGATCTGAAGGAGTTACTCCCTCTCTCTCTCTATATATATGTATATATGTTGAGTTTGCTTATATAATATGTGCATTCGTTTCATGGCTGACAGAACGTACTCAGACAAATTTGCACAGTGTTATGGTTAAAGAATATGCATCACAGCACCAACCAAACTGACCAAGTTAGGGCTGCACCCGCCTTTTCAAAAACCTGGATTCCTTGAAAGGTTGGAATGAACTTTGACATTTGGGTTCAGTGAGAGTCTAGAGCCTTGATCCAGCCTAGGCAGCACTTGCTTGGGTGGTGGATCCTGAATGCAACTGTGACCGACGTTGGTCCCAGTCCCGGCAGCTCTTGCAAGATGGCGAAGGCTTGAGCTGAAAGGATTTCACCAACGGATCTTGTATAGTAGCGATAGCCTCCACCCTAGTAGCGATGGCCTCTCGTTTTTTGTATGCTACATGTCCATTTATTCTGAATGGATGAGTCCTAAGAGAACATCCTTGCTGATCCATGTTGCCTTTCAACCTCGTGGCATCAAGCTTCACGTGGACCTTCCGCAGCTAGGATCAGACCAAGCTTGTCACTGTCATAATTGAGATGACCTGGGCAAGCAGTGAGTATCTATCACGGCTCATGTTGTTATTTTGTTAAATTTAAGGGTTGCATTACATGCAAAAGAGAGAGAGAGAGGTAGATGGAAAGGGGAGTGATATTCAACCATGCAAAGGCGCCCTGTTACTGTACAATTTCCATACAATCACTGCAAACTATATACTATACTAACTCAGCTTCAAGACCAATGTCATCTTAGACCGATGTGTCTCAAAACATTGACTTGACTTCCCGAAATGGTGGACATCTCCATGCAACTTGCTAGGGTTCCGCTGTCGCAATGACTTCCAATGGCCGTCGCTGGAAAGCGCCGTTTTGGTGTGTTGGCAGCGTACCTGGTGGTGCTGGGGCCGGCCTTCTGCCACATCAAGTGGACCCTTGGAAGATCGAAGCTCTACAGCGGGAGATCACTTGGACTGTTTGGAAGGCTTCCATGTGTTCCACCTGAAGGTTTAAGACGACACGGATGGGGGTCAATCAAGCCCAAGCACAAGCAGGAGTGATGGGATGTCAATTAAGATGATTTGACACAACAAATTTGTTCTTCTTGAGGGCATCACCAACAGAGGGTCTTGTGTCTTGTAGCCTTGTCGACCAGTTTGCCAGAGTCCTTCATCTCAGAGCCATACTAGACGAAAGAAAGCAACAGGCCCGCTCAACATATCTGAAGCATTAGCATGCGCCTGTAGTACGCATGTTGAGCAGCTTTCAAGCATAAATGCGCAATAGTGGTGCGGACTGCAACAACAATTTCACATCATTTCACAGCCAGGTTCGTTTCGCAGGATGCATTTGTTTTGCCTCGAAGTGAGGCAGCAAGTTACAACAGCAAGGCGTACTTGTTTGCATGCTTCCTCCGAGACAGCAGAGGCAACCCGATCGATGGCTTGGCCCGGTTTGGCCGGCAGACATTCTTCAAATAGAAATTGTGTTGTTTTTGATGAACAATTCTAATAAAATAAGCTACTAGAAACAAGTGCATCGCTACTAGGAGCAAGGGCCTTACTAGTAGTAACAAGAAACTATTAGAATTAAGTTTAACAGTGAGAAGCCCTGAGTCGCACAGCGTCCGCTCTCGACTCTCACGGGGTCTCAGATTCAATGTTCGATCTGAAGGGCCACGTGTTAATATAAGTTTATCCAAGAGAGTAGATGTAAGTAGCAGTGGTGGATGGAATATGGAATTATTTTGGCGTATGGACACCACGCAGATATGTTCAAACCGTTGTTCAGAATCCAGGTTCAGAGACATTTGATCTCAAATTATGGCCCCTGGCCCCTGGCCTCACATCATGGTCCCGGTCCCTTCGTAGGACACGAGGCCTTCGTGGTTCGTGGCACCGGGACACCGAAGCACTCAAAAACCGTCCCGTGTGAAGCTGGAGTTGCGGGCGTGGCCTCGGCCCGGTCCGGTCGGGGAGGCCCTGGAGATCTTTGGCCTAGAATCAGTGCCAAGCTTTGAGGAGTTGCGGTTCCTGGGCCACATGAAGATCATGCAACGTGATGGAACAAGGGGGTCCGGGCCGGGGTCACCTTCGTTTTTTCATTTTGTTGTTTTTCCCTATATTTTTCAAATGCCTCAGAGAGTTTTGAATTTGGGTTGGATCTTGCAAGGTGAAAGCTTGTGAGTTGTCCTGCTTGTTTGCGTTACATCACGCCCACATGTACACTGGGTTGGCTTGTACGCCAATCAGATTTTGTTCATTGACTTGCTTGTTGGCCCCCATTTATTTGATATACTGTATGTGTGTTTTCTCTTCCTTGCTGCTTTCATGTTCCCGGTATCAAAGACATGCTGATCTGTGTGAACACCCAGGCGATCTTTTCGTAGGTTGGCGGCGAAGACACATCCAGATGTCAGCGGATCTGCGGACTCCTTTCGCAGAGTTGTAGCTGCTTTGATTGGTTTGTAAAGAGCTTGGGCATAAGCAACATTTCTTCATGGTTAGGCCAACAACCCAACACTAGCTTCAGGCAATGAGAGAACAATGCGATGGAAGTTGCAAGTCGACCACGGAAATCCTATTTTTTAAAACTCGTTTAAGGGTTATCTAAAATGGGTCTTAAAACAACATGAATGACACGGATGAACTCTTTGCACAGTCAAATTAGCCAGTCACTGTTTCGACTTTTTAGATTTTGGTGGTGAACCTCAGTAGTCGGTAGCAACGAGGATGAAGTTTGCAAAACGAGGGGGGATGCAGCATGCATTGAATCTGGGTGTCTTTGTCTTCAGGACGCGTATCGACATCTTCAGAGTGTTGATCCTGGTACAGGATCGATTGGATCCGTTCGTGCAGCCACTATTTGTCTATTTCCCCTGGCAATTGCAAAGAATGCAAGGTCTGAGTACAGAGCAGTATGATGCAGTATGGTCCAATGCTTCTCATCATGAGTCTTTACTTGCTGGGTGAGTTGTTCTGCTGTGTATGAAAATGGCCAGGAAAAGATGCGGTTGATGAATTCTTGAAAGATTGGCTGGAAGAAAGTCCTGTGCCTGGGTGGGGCGACTTCGGACAGATTGAGAGGCTTGGCGCACCTGCTCGAGATGCAAGTTTTGCATGAAGGTTTGTTTGGCCTGTTCTACTTGGTCGAAGGAAACAGGGGACCCCCAGCATCCCATCAAATGAGCGGGACTCTCAACAATTGGCAGATACTGATACAACACACATATATGATATATATGTATATACACAGTAGATGATTCAGACGCTTGGTTTCCCAATCTGGCTTCCTGTTCTCATGGCAGCTTTGGTCAAGACAGACCGCGGGTCATTGTTCACTCAGGAGAGACACAGACGATGACGGTTGGGCTGGCAGAGCTCCTGTGTTGAACACTTTTGTGAAGAGGCTTAAGAACAAGAGCACGTCTTGAGATATGTCAACAGTTCCGTCTTTCAGCTGGATTTTCCATGGTTTTCCCGCTTCCATTCCATCCTGATTCGGAGAAACTCTCAGTACGATACCTATTTGCCACTGCGTGGAAGTGAAGCACTGGGTATGTTTTTGCTGTGATGTATAGGCATTCAATATTTCACTACACAGTGCTGCAAGTAGCAGAAATGCAATGGTTCTCCAGAATGTGAAAAGTGAATGAAAGTATGTTGCAATGGGGAGGGCTCCGGAGGACTCCCCTTCTTTTTCGGAAGTATGATGTTCTCTTCTTGCCAGGCATGATGCAGCAACCGAGGGTGGCGTGCAGGAAGGCGATGTGGTGATCTATCGATTGTTGCAGCCAATGGGAAATCGTGGCTGGGGTGTCGGTGATTCGGCCCCGAAAAGGGAGTTGCTTTGGAACAGCTGCAGCTAAAGACTGCAAGAAAACACGTAGCTTTGCGAGAGAGCTCGGAAATTGACCACAAGAGCCCATTTCTGAAGAGTCTTTTTGTTGCAGCAGTTGCAAACGCAAGAGTAATTCTTATGATGGACCTTGTATAAGACCACTTGCTAGATGACTTCTTCTGCTGAGGCATACTGTACTGAAGGTTGTTAGCAATGTCCCTTTGCTTACCAAGGTCGTATTATCGCGGTTCAGGTCAACTACAGCAGGACTTTGGTTTTGCTCTGCCAATGCCAGGATTTTGTAAGAAAGAGCAGTGGTCGTTTTCTGTGCAACGTCTTGGGCAAGCACAAGAATGGTGGACGATGGATTTGCACACTATTGCCCTGAAAGCAGGGGCGAAAGAACCAGGGCTAGGGCATAGCCAAATGATATTGTTGCCGATGTGTTTGCCCTATCACATCCTATCACGATCATGGTTGATGGTTGCAGCAAATGGTTCCCTTTGCAGGGAGCTTTCACACCTCGCAGGAATGGCCCAAATGGTTTGCTCCATGTCCAACCTCTTCGTTTGTCCAGTTCTCCCACTGTGCTAGAGGATGACCTCGATGCGGACGGGGGGCACCGAAACATGCTGATGCAACAGCTGGCCATCTGAAAGATACGGAATGATACATCCGCTCAATTCACCGTTGAACTGGTGAATCGCTACTGGATGCGACACATGCTTGGATTCTGGAACATTCCGACAAAGGTCAAAGGTTGGAAGATTCTGCAAACATGTTTTGGGATGCACATTAGTTCGCCTAGTGACTCTGAGACTTGCCTAACAGATCTTAAGATATCTTAAGATCAAGATGAAGCACCTTTGCAGGAGATCGCCATTACACGTGCCACAGATCGTCTTGAAGTTCTTCCGGACTTACAAGAGCCACTCGTCGAACATCGCGTGGCAACATGTGGCAACATCATGTTGGGGTCGGGTCGACATGTTGTTTCGTTCTGTTTCATTGATATTCGCGACGGATGTTTTCAATACTCGGTGTCAGCATGACGCTGGGAAATACATAATGCATCATAATGTGGTTGCATACCTGTCTAGTGAACAAACTGCCAGGAGCATGTCTGAATATGGTTTCTACTGTCGCCCGTGTTGAGGCTACCAGATGGCACACTGGAGTTCCAAGAGCTCAGCCGTTCACATGTTAGGGCAGCATCTTGGAAGAATTTGGAGTGCGAATTGAATGGTTTGAAGAATGTGGAGAAGCTTTCCTTCTATTCACAACAAGCATAAGATGCTGCTTGGAGTATGGGGACTAGCTACTATGTGTTCAACTAAATTAGGTCATGGTGCCTGTCAGAGTCCAACAGCATTTCATTGTTGCACTTGCCACCCAATCCCCATCCCCATCCCCGCCACTCCTCGAGAAGAACTCCCCAACCTTCGTACACACAGTTTACTATATTGACCCTGTGTTCCGTGTACTTGGCGGACAGCCAGCCAGCCACCTATCAAAGTATCCGGCGGAATCAGCCAGCCAGCTAGCTAAAAAGTATCCGGCGGAATCAGCCAGCCAACCACCTATCAAAGTATCCGGTGGAATCAGCCAGCCAGCCAGCAAAATATCCGGCGGAATCAGCCAGCCAGTCACCAAAAGTACCCGGCGGCTGGCGGAATCAGCCACATAAAGGGGTCCGTATAAATGCTATGTTGCTATATCTCTTACACACCTATATAAGTTCAATGCAAGAGTGAGACTTCAAAGCTGTGGATTGCTGTACGTGTGTAAAGGTTATCGAGCGGTTGACGGAAAGGGAACTTGAAGTACTATACCTGGTAACTGAATTGTAGTTACCCTGGGTATCTATACCTGCGCCAGCTGAGTAAGAAGGGGGGTTCGGGGGGGTGGCCTGAGAAAGCACACTCGAAAGCAAAAACGCTGGCTTTCGTTTTGCAGCTTCTCAGGTTGTTTATGTTGTTTGCCTTGCTGGCAGGAAGCCTTCCCAGGGGGACGCGTACATGGCTTCACTTTTTGGCCCGAGGGGTTGATCAAGAAGGCAAGGTTCCAACCAATCAATCAGTCAATCAACCTTTACGCGCGCAAAAACATCGGCTCAGGTGGAAATTGCTAACAACGCTCTGTCCAATGTTGCTGCACTCCCACAAGAGCTTCGTTCCCATGGAACAACAAACAACAAACAACAACCAACAACCAACAACCAACAACGACGACAACAACAACAAGAACAACAGCAACAGCAACAGCAACAACAACATCAACAACAACAACAACAACAACAACATGACTTTGCTTTCCCACAGCGGCCTCAGAGAGGCATGTTTGCGATGCGCCAGCATGTCGGAAAGCTGCAGTGCAGTTTGCGTGGACAGCGCGCACCAGAGCTCTTTTGACACGTGGCAAACATCAGACAAAATGAGCTTCTAGGATCTGAAGGGTTTTGCCATCAGTGGCATGGCAATGTGACTAGTTATGTGACTATTATATAGTGGATCAATTTGTATTGTTGAACGAAACCCGAAGCCATCACTAGCCTACACTACTTGTGACGCCTCTTACCATTTGGCGCCAATACTTGTTTGGTCCATGTTTCCTTCATGAGCCAACGGTGTGTGCCAAAAGTAAAGAATATGTGAACACGACTTTCAGCTATTTTTGAAAGAACGCATTTCGACCAGATGAATCTGATCAGATTCAAACTCGCTTTTCCCGGACCGCCGCCACTCTTTCTGGTTTTAGCGCGGCGTGCGCCAGAACTAGTCACACCGCATTTGGGTAGTGCGGTGAGGTCCTCTGAACCTCTAACTGCGGTACACTGAAACTCCACGGCCCGTGGAGCTGGGACTTGTGTAAAGGACCATTCTCACTCAAAATAGATGGGAACTGTGGCCGGCACCTCGTCTGTACACGCGAAAAGTGACTCAACTGTACACGCGAATGAGATGCCGGAAGCCACCTATGAAAGTATCCAGCGGAATCAGCCAGCCAGCCACCTATCAAAGTCCCGACGGAATCAGCCAGCCACCTATCACAGTATCCGGGAGAATCAAAGTATGCGGCGGAATCAGCCAGCCAGTAACCTATCAAAGTAGCCGGTGGAATCAGCCAGCCAGCCACCAAAGTACCCGGCGGAATCAGCCAGCCAGCCACCAAAGTACCCGGCGGAGTCAGCCAGCTAGCCAACTAAAAAGAAGCCGGCGGAATCAGCCAGCCAGCCACCCACCAAAGTAACCGGCGGCTGGCGGAATCAGCCACCTAAAGTATCCGGCGGCTGGCGGAATCAGCCACCCAAAGTATCCGGCGGCTGGCGGAATCAGCCGCCTAAAGTATCCGGCGGCTGGCGGAATCTGACTTAGGCCCCGAACTTCAGGGTCTATAGTTTATTAGGGATCTCCTCGGGATCCTGTTGATTTCAATCGTCACATGTACCAATGGTTGATGGCAGGGCTGCGGCTGCGACTGACTTTAAATTCACTATCAGATCACCTATTGTATCAATCAACCACTTGGATGAAAAGGGGGGGCCCTGATGGGCCCGGTTTGCAGCTCGGGACGCCTCCGAGATCGGACCATGGTGGACCCGAGAACCGCACCGACATGCTGCCAGCCCGCCATGCACCGGATTTTGAGCGGTGAAACTATATGTCCACCAAACCATCTCATCGATCATTGCCCAGCTGGGACGTGAATATGCTTTCTGAAGATGTCAGGTGCTTTCGGGCATGGTGTTCGTGGACAGCTGCTTAGAAGCGCTGTGATGCCGTGGAACAAAAAGTGTTGGCAGCTGGAGCGGCTGTTGTTTGAAATTGTGTTCTCGCTGCTGCTGCTCCTGCTGCTGCTGTTTTTTTGTGTTCCCTAAATGTACCGGGGGTATAGGGTGATGTTGCTTTACAAGGGGCACCAAGGTGAGTCTTCTGCTTGGGAGTCTTACATGCTTGGGATATCTTGGGATCTTGTCATTGAGGCGGTGTGCATCGAAGTGTTGAGAGTCCTAAGCAGTTTCCACCTTTCGACCAAGCCTGCTTCAACATGTAAACGTTTTGGATTAATTGGAACACTTTCAAGCCAGGCTTTGCAGAAGAGTTTCAGACTCAGAGTTGATTGGACAGCCGTGATTTGCTTTGCTAGTGTTATTGCGGGCCATCCATAGACTTAGACATTGTGTGACAAGTCGCAAAAAACGGACCTCAAAGTACGAATCGGTTTCAGATTGAAGAGCTTTGCCAGACTTGTGCGTTCCAGCTGGAAATGTATGTTGGCCGTCTTGGGGTGGTCACTGCACCGGTGCTCGCAATAATTTGCTTGATAAATCACGATATGTGGACCTTTGTTTGGAGGATCGTATGGACATGACAGTTGACATGAAGAGATCATCTATTCTATTGGATGTTGATTCACAAGGAATCAGTGACGTCTCTCATCAAATCATTTGCTAACCCGTGCGATATCATTAACAGTCATAGCCTAATAGCTTGCCTTTGGATCAGTGAACACGTGTCATAGCTTTGTTCCACGGTAACCATAATAAATCTTTCAGGACACACAACAAACTCTACCCAAATGAAGGTGACATCCTCTAGATGTAGGTGTTTATTAGACTGTGGATACCCTGAAAAAGCCACTAGACTTTGTTGACGTTTCTCCGGTGCTTTGTCCCGAGGACCTCCCGGTTTCGCTCCCAGGTTGGGCTCTTGGAGCTCCATGCAGGCCGACGCCCTCCGCTTGAGCCGAGCGAAGAATCTGCTCATGGAGGCCAAATCGGGGAGATTGAACAAATTGCATCGCTACTAGTCAAGCGCATCGCTACTAGTCACAAGAAGCTACTAGTAGCTTCTTGTTACTACTAGTAATGCCCTTGTTATATACTAGTAGCTTCTTATTACTACTAGTAATGCCCTTGTTACTACTAGCGATGCCCTTGTTACTACTAGCTTCTTGTTACTTTGGTTGGGGGTTTGGTGCTTAGGGGATGTTAGGGATGGTGCCTTTTGGGTGCAACCTCTATCAGGTTTGGACCTGGGTCTCATCTGGATGCAGCGGAAGCCGGACGCCCAGCAGAATCGTTGTCACACTGGATGGGGTTGCCCACCACGTAGTATGCAGCATGCAGGTATGCCTACATTACTGTAAGGATATTATGTGTGTTAAATATTGTTAAAAAGTTATAGCCCATTAGTTTTGTCAAATATTCGGAAAGAAACGAGGCATTATGTTGTACACGTGTGCATATTTGTGTACGACGGATGATTGTTGAATGTTCGCCACAGAGGGAGCTTCTTTTTGCAAGCAACATACATAAGTAAGCACGCACAAGGTTGACCATCCGCAAAAAGCATGCTACTTCGCACAGATGTTCGCATGTGTCTTGCTGTTGCACATGCAAACTCTGTTTTTCATCGTTGCCCCATATCTGGCATGAGATTCAAGCCTGGGGATCACAGCTGTTGCTGCTACTTGTCTTTCGTTTTCATATCATGGACAACCACCAACCTGATAGTTCGCCAAAAAAATATGTTGATAGTTCGCCTGCAGGTTTGGCACTTCAGAGCCTATTTTGCTGGCTCATTTTGGCAGTCTCCATTGTGCCGCTGGCACGGGGCTGAAGTGGGGGGGAGGTTGAAAGTCAGGAAAGCTTTGTGCGGTGAAAGGATCAAGCCTTGAACTTGAAAGACGTCGATCAGTGGTGCAAGTTGTTAAGATCCGTAGGATCTCCCAAGAAACCTAATTGTACTTGTCACCTTGGCCAACGACCAAGGCTGAACAAGCGAACCGTTTGAAGCCGGTGCACAGGTGTGGGCATAGAAACTCAGTGTTCTTCCGACTTTCAATCATTCTTCTTCAGGACCAGCATTTGGTTTACTGTAGTATGGTTTAGTACCAGCATGCTTGACCATGTAAAGAAACTAGAATCCAATGCAGGGAAACTCGACACTCAGAGTTCATCCTTCCTTCACTATTCCCAATACAGCTGGAACGATCAGAAAGATAAATATTTTAGTATATATGATATGTGATAATATTTGCTTCTTTTCTATGCAAAGTATAGCCGCCACGCCTTTGGCATCGCCGGCAGTACTGTGAAGTCTGGCCTTCAACGTGTTGGACTGGCAGCTCCGCAGAATCGAGCTAGCACTGGAGCTAAGGTGGGATGCCACACTAGATTGACAGCCCATAACACTTGTTCACACGGACATGTTTCGTTTTGCCCAGTAAACCATTTTCGTGGTGTCGGCCTTCTGAATGAAGCATTTGGAACTTTGGCTTGGCTCGACTTTAGACCAATGTGGCTCACCATCGCTTGTGCTGGAGGCTTGGACTTCAGCACTCTTTCTTCTCGACGGCACTGCTGAGGCTCGGTGCCAAGTTTAGCACAATAATTTGAGTTGACTTTCTCCCACACAAAATGGTTGACGAGCAGACTGTCAGCATTCAATGTGTCACAAGTACAGCACATGCAGTGCGATGAATCAGCTCTTGAAGATTGACTAGCTTTTGCTATCAGGCATGGTGGTGGCTAAGAGGCATTCGTAGCTTTGAGCAGGCAAGGAAGATTGAGAGTGTTCTCTGAACAAATATCAAAGCTGTGCCATCATTGGGTTGGACTCACCACAACAGGTGGGTGTTTTGCATGTCAATAGGAGCAAAGAAGCTACTAGGAGCAAAGGGCATCGCTACTAAGCAAGGACGCTACTAGGGGCTCCTGGCCTTACTACTAGGAGCAAGAAGCTACTATAACAAACCCCTTGAAAGGGTTTGGTCCAGACATTGGCTGTGCACAGTGGCTTTCGACTCAGTGACTGTCACCAGACTGCAGGCCCCACGTCCTTGGACTGACAGCGAGGATGGAGGTGTCGGTGCTGGAGCCCTCAGATGTGCGCGGCGGTGCGGCAGTACCTCACTGTGCCTTATTTTTCACAGCTTCGAACCCTTCACGCCGGTGCGTGAGTTGCAGCCTCTCAGGTGGCTCAGTCCACACAGCCAGAAGATGTGTGGCAACAGGCCTGGAACCAACAGTGGTGCCGCATTGCACGGTTGGCCTGAATGCACAAAGCAAAGAAGCAGATGATAGATTCAGAATATTTCAGAATATAAGAATATCATAGATATCATATGTTGGATTGGTGACAACTGTGTGTGAAAGTAATTGCTTGTGGGTATTGTATGCTTTTCGAGTTGGCTTTATTTAAGCGTTGATGACCCAGGGAGAAGACCCCTTTGATGGAGCTGCCGGCTCAGTGCAGAATGAATGGGTAAGTAGATGCCCGTGGGCACTTTAGTTTATAGCTGCTTATAAAATTGCTTGACGTGACTTGACGTGTGCTCAGACTTGTTTGGGCGGAACCCATCATATTTGGTCAAGATTTTAAGATCCAGTGAAGCAGTGGATTTGTGTGGAGCAAAGGCACTTGTTCTTTAAAAGGGGGAAGGTGTTGCCAACCGCAACCAGCACAACCTTAATTCCTCTACTATCTGCGTTGATACTGTACTGCTAGCGCACCACGACCTGGCTGAGAATGACCTGACTGCCGCAGCTCTGGAGTTTGACCGGGAGTTGGACAAGGTGCATTGGATCGAAGGTTGACGCGCGCAGAGTGCGGGGTTTTCCGGGCGACGAGATGCAGGAGATGGATGATGTGCTACGAGATGCCTTGGCCCAAGTCCCGTCCAGATAACATGATACATTCATTCCAACAAGCTACTAGGAACAAATGCATCGTTTCTAGTAACAAGTGCCTTACTAGTAGTAACAAGAAGCTACTAGGAACAAGTGCATCAGGAGAAGAACGTGTTTTGTTGCATGGGTTGTCTCTCAGGACGGATACCAGCTCTAAAGGGGACCGGTGATTGGCTCGGCTTCCGTACTTTAGCAGCACACTGCCAAAATTTGGATGGTATATTCTGGGCAGAATGATCAAGAAAAGATGTCCGAAGGATAGGCCAAAGTAGGTGATTCAATAAAAAGATCCTCCATATATGACACATGCAATTCCCTCAGCCAAGATACAAGAAATGCATTTTAGCTCATACAAGCATTAGCTTGTACGCGGCGATTAGCTCATACAAGCATTGCAGACTAAGATTGCTGGATGTCACAGGCGGTTTGTTTGCTTGAAATGAGCGGAAAGACCTGTCATGGCGGTGTAGACATTGCTTTTGTGTGTATAATTCGTGCTTTTTGAACTGGCAGTGCAAGAAGCACTACCAACCCTTATATAGTCTGGGTTTTCCAAAGTGTTGGTTCTTGGCAAAATGTCAGAACCTCGGTGTAAATGCACCTTGCTGGAGCCATCCCATGAATAAAGTTTGTCGCATTTCCACTGAAGACACCATGTTGTTTCGCTCCGAAACAAGCAACAACGAGTTTGTTGGATCGGTTGCATCTTCGGGCCCAGCAAAGAAGACCTTGCAAGAACAGAAAAGGTGCCTTGCTAAATTACATTGGGGTGAAGATGAAGAACAGAGACTGGACCGGCTTTGAAGTTGCAGATTGGTTTTGACAGGGTCATTTCCATGAGTCCAAAGGTTGGAGTCCAAAGTTTTGGATTTCACTTTAAAAGCTGTAGCATGCTGATTATGCTTCAAGTTCGATGGCTGCGGAAACAGTTACAGTATATATATAAGTGGCCGGGACTGCAAATACGGCGGATGCATTCTTTTTGAGACAGGCGAATCGAACACAGCATGCAACAATCACTGAACCGAACCGGCAAATACTTTCATCAAGAAAGAAACTACCTCTACGGCCGATATGAGCCGGTTCTCAAAAGGCATCAAAAGGCCCAAAAGTTACTTACTGGTTGACTGTCAACTATGGTTGTTTGATTTGTTCGTTCTGAGTTTTGAAACACAATCCGGCAACAAGCACTAGTCACTAGTCACTTCTGTCAGTATCTCACAGATTTTTCGGCTCGCAGCTTCAGTAGCGTGAGCCATTTGTATTGCCTTGGTGCATCGAACGAACACTACCTTGATTCTGATTCTTTAACTAACAATGGGTTGCAAGATTTGATGTTGTGGTCTCATAACAAGACTCTCATCTTCAGTCCCTTAATTTGAAGCCGTACAAAACACGTTTGCACCTGGGAACCAAAAGGAGTCAAAGTCATTAGAAACCATATTCCAACAAGCAAGCTTTTCCCAGCCACTTTGCAGTCATTCGCAACAATCAATGAATTGACAACACGTGCACGACTTCCGTCGAATCGGTTAGCCCGACGCTTTCTGTGGCTCGTTTGCTCAACAAGAGAAGCTCGTTGGGGCAGGGCTTGTTGAGTTTTCTGCTACTAGGAACAAGGACGCTACTAGGGGCTCCTGGCCTTCATGTTCAGGGCCCCCAGGAGTCAAAAGTAGATGACCACATACAGTAGGTCCCACATGGGGTGTGTTACGGTACGGTCCTCTATGTGTTCATTTCATTCTGCCATTGGATTTGCAGAGTTTCCAAAAGGGTCCGAGGGTGTTGGACCGAGGCTGAACTGAGCAGTTGCGCTGCATCAACGACAAAGCGATCGGTACCCAGTGATGGAACGAACGGTATCAGCGGGATGTGGAATCTGAGCAGGAACTTATATATTACTAAAATGTACTAAATGAGTTAGACCACAGCGCCACAATGTATATTACAATGCATCGTAGTGACAATGAGCTACTGAGGCCATGTCCACTTCCAGCATCCAGATGTTGTACAATGCGGAGGAAGAAAGCAGGAAGTAAACTCAGCCAGTGTATATAATATATTCTGATCACCTTCCTGGATTTGAACATAACCCTTGTTTTCCGGTTTCAACTCAGCTATGGCTCCTGTTAGGCTTCGCAACCACAAGTAACAAATTGCACCAGTCAGCCTGGACTCTTGCTTTCTGAGACAAAATAAGCCAATGCTTTGCCGCGGCCCACTTTTCTCCAAGGCAGACCTTGGACACTGACTTGGGCCAGCTCAAAAGGAGTCTGGTTTTCCTAATCACTAAGAAGACGGACAGTTGCACTTGATGGCCAGGCCGCTTTTTGCCCTTCGCTTGTATTGTCAGTTGATTGGAGAGGACAGTGGCAGTGGCCAGTCTGAGCACTTTCTGCCTCGGGTACAATACAGGCATCGTGGCTGGTGCACAGGAGGCCATTATGGAGGCACGATGGCTGGCTGCGCACGCATCCCAACTCCTACGAGTGAGACGACATAGATCATCATAGATCCATGTCAATCACGAGCGTGACTTAATTGTATTGTCGAATGTTTGTCTCATTTCAACTGGCTTCTTTGCAAAAAAACATATGTATGGACTGGAGTATGGGCCACACATCAAGCCTGGTTACTTGTATCAGTCAAAGGAACTGAACAAATCAAGGAAACAAGTGCAGGCGGTGCCCATCTGTCTAAAAGGTAATTCAAAAGAGCTTACAATCCAAAGCTCAACTCTCCAAGGCCAATCCGATAGCGACAAGTGTGGATTTGTCAACCTAAAACAACCTGTGCAGAACCAAATTTGAGTGCAAAACTGTTGAGCATGGTCACCAAGTACATGAGCTGATATCCGTGGCTGCTTCCTTGGACCCTCGCTCGCAGCGCATGGATGGTCTTCCTGCAGAAAGAAAGAAAGACAGCAAGAAAGAAAGAAAGAACAGCTCAACACGTTGACCGTTGTCCAGCATTGCGTTGGAGGATTTGAAGTTGGAGAATCTGGCTGTGGCAGAGCTGGTCAGTGCGGCGCTGTTGGGCGCGACTGTGGGTGCTTTGTGCGGACAGGCTGGGAGGCCAACATTCGATTTTGAAAAAAAAACAATCAACAACATGTTGGGGTAGACCCTGAAGGAATGGCTGCGATTTGGGATGTTTGTTTACGTGGTGCTGGAAATGTTCCAATGCACTTTAATCCCAAATTGCATCACGTCATCCTACTTGCTCAGAGTCACTCCACCTTTGCTGAGCACCATGAAGAAGGCTTCAGGATGGACAGGGGGCGAAGACTCACCCCAAACTTACTGCATATGGTCGACCCATGTCCGGTGCCCCTTTGGTCCCATGGTGGACATCCGTTTGCCGCGTCCACTTGGAGTGAAAGGAAAGGGTCAACCAGGGTCCACCCAGCTGGCCACCTGTTGGAGGAGCAGGAACCTCCAGAGTAAAGTCAATCAAACTAAGATCTAGTGACATAAGCTATGGATACACTGATTGTGTGAGGATTAGTTGCAAAGAGAAACAATTGCCTTTTTGCCTGACATAATATCAACGTGGTCTTGGGATTTGGTGCTGGGATTTCGCACGCCAGTTTGCCAACAGCTTGGGCCGACGACGTGCATTGTTGACCACTGCGCTATTGTTTCTGGCGGCACCACTCCTGTCAGCAACAGCTCCTAACTATGGATTGTTGCTGTTTGGCAGGAGACCTGGCTGATTGGAGAATCGCTTAGAGTCCTTTCAACATTTGTAGCGATTGCTACCGCAACATTTGATGCTACAATCATGTCTAGTCATCTAGAATCTAGACACTACTCCATCTACTCCCTACCACCTAAAGATCAACACAGTCATTTTTGAATGCAATAAATTCCTGTCCAGTTTTGTTAAGGGGCCCCCAAAGATGGGAACCTGGGAAGAGGATCGCCGAACAATCACGGACAACGTTCCATTAATCCTGTATTAACATCGTACGCCAAAATTGAACAACCCTCCAAATCGAAGCGTCTCCCTATTCCGTTTACACAACCCTTTACATCCCTCTATATATTATATAAACCATTGTTTCTTCAACGATATTCTTGCTTCAACAGAGTGTATAAGCCAAATTCCAAACAAAGAAGATTTCCAAAGGTGCTGTCGCTGTGCCATGCGGTTTGGCGGAAAGTGCGTTCGTGTGGCTCCGTGCCATGGGGGAACGGGACACATGCGTTGAGTTGCTGGTGGCAAGTTGCTGGTGAATGGTACGATCGGTGGCGATTCTAGTGGGTGGGTGGATACTTAATTTAAGAACGCGCAAAGAACATTTGCCTTGGGAGCATATAGTACAGTAAAGGTTGCCATTCAGGGTGCCCGACATGAGTTCGATTTAACCTCTCTTTCGTTGGGTAGTAGTGCCTTTTAATGGGTACTCTGTACTGGGGATTAATGATATTCCATGAGACTCCTACAGTGGATGTTTCACTACTGATTTCGTAGACCGCTTTTTCAACGCTCTTTGCTACCAGCGACGCTGCAACACGGGGCTTCTCATCGCAACTCGTTGACTCAATGCAGTTGCCTTGAGGACTTTGACCGGAATACCCATCGGAGTCTCGTCGGTGCTGACCAACTTGTACATCACCGAGGTGAAGGGAGCGGCGCAAAACAAGTGGAACAAACTGTGCGGATTGCTTCTTAGTAAGCTTTTTTAGAGAAAAAGAAAAGCACTTGAAAATAGTGTGTTGTGCTATTAATAAGGCCCCCTTCAAAGGACTCTATTGTAGTGACGGACTCTTGGAACATCTTGGAACCAACAGTTCTTCCAAAATTCATCAACATCCTAAGCCCTTTAATTAGAACATCGAGTTAGGCCTGAGAACACACAAGGATTTGAACTGTGCCATGTTCTTAGTAAGTGTTGTCTTAGAACATGCTCAGTCGTGTTTCTCAGAACATTTTCACCACTCCCAAACATCACTCATTGCTGAACATGCTTAGAAGAAACACATTTAGGTGGTGGTTGTCCGTCACAATGTAGCATTCTGCATTATGAAATCTGGCTTTGTGTGCACTGCACATACGTTCTTTTCCAGGTCAGTACTGGATAGTGGGGGTATATAGCGCAGCCTGCGCTTGACCAATGATGTCAGCACAAAAATATTTTGTATATATATATATATATTGAGCGTTTTCAAAACTGCTTGTGGAGGTACCAATCAAAAATCCTAAGAAATCCAAAAATCATAAAAACTTAAAAATCACAAAATCCTAAAAACATTAAAACAATAAAAGTTCAAAAATCTTAAAAACTTAAAAACACTCAAAATACAAAAAAACTCAAAAATCTTAAAATTGTTTTCTTTTTTTTAATACACAAAAAACATAGACAATCTTATGTTTCTTAAAACCAAAACTCTTTTTGCAAAACACATGTGCATATCCTAAACACAATCACATAGAACTGGACCAACATAGCAAAAAGTTTAAGAACAAACTGAAGAAACAACCGAAGGAACGGGCAAACTTCTTCAAGCAAGTCAGTCAATGATGTTGAGCTTGGAAACATGGTAGTCATGGAAACATGGTAGTTGGTTCGTTCATTTGCTGGGACCTGAGATTGTGGACAGATTCGGTCACAAATCCACAGCCCTCTCCCAATCCAATTGCCACCAACCAAGATTGATTGCAAGAAGAATGTTGGATCCAATGCGTGAAATTCTTTGGTTTGCTGGCTGGCCAGTGTGGCTCCAAGGAGAAACGGGTGTTCCTGTTTTGACACGCGCGCTCTTGTGCTGTGTTGGCTCTTTGCAGCTATGGAGGCTGCTCTGGCCATTTTGGCTGAACATGGCCACAGGGTTCATTTGGGTGATGGCGTGCCGATGCCAGACGAACAAGCAGCGCAGCCGGCGACGGCTGAGGCATTTCAAGGCCACAGGCCAGGGGATCAAGGCCACCGGCCAGGGGCGCGCCAAGCCCAGAATGGTGGGCGGGCTCGGTCGGCAGCCAGGCTTGCCAAAAGCAAGCTTCGGAAAAGACAGGAAAAGTCGCTGGATGCACAAGGATCCTACATGAATGACAGTGGCCGGGGACGCACAAAGGACTATGCCTGTCCAAGTTTCCGTGAAGGACTGAGATGAGCTGCTCCTGCCGGGTCGTCTGGCTGGAAGAAATGGACAACAGCCGCTGTGCTGCGGGCAGGGTTTGCTTCCGAAAGCGCAACCCTGCGGCAAATCGCGAAAGAAGTGGAAGGAGCTAGCGCTGCCCACTCGGGCCAAGCGAGATTTGTTGTTGCTAGAGCCATCACGCAAGGGCAAGAAGACGGGGCAGCGCAGTTGCAACTCACTTCCCTGCGGGCACCGTGCGCATTCCTGGTGCGGAACTTGATGTTTGACGAATCATCCTTTGATCTGAAAGCAGATGATGACGAGGCAGCCTGCGTGCATTCTATCCTGTGCAGCCATGGGCAGTGGACCTTCGCTTTCCGAGAGGATTCGCACCTTCCTGCAGACTGCTCCTGGCGACCGGGCCAAGTTTACGACGAGGATATCTGCCGACCCCCGCAGAGCATGGAGGCCCATGAATTGGCAAACAATGTGGAAAGCATTGGCCACAGGCCTGGGAGGCTTGGAGCTGCTCACAGTTGCGAGCAGCTATGTTGCAACGTTGGTAACTTGCGACGCCCCGCGGCAAACCTAAGATTGCTCCGGCACTTAGACCAGCAGCTGCATCAAAATCATTTGCTGCTGCCAACCCTTTGCGCCCAACATAGGGCAGGGAACGTCGTGGAACAATTGACAAAGCTTCTGGCTGCTTTTGCATTTCGAAGGTCTTGAACAAAAGAGGGTGTTTGGCAGCCTTGCGCCGCCAAATCTCTGGCATTTTGGAAAAAGAGGCTTATTGTCTGGGACAGGCTACCAGCCGGGTTGTGGGAGGAGTGGGAGGCTGGCCGGCCCTCCTCTCGCAAGTTGGTGAATCTTTGCACCGCTTTTCTTGATGAAGACGAGGCCGGTGATGCGGCCACTGGCCAGGGTGCAGGCAGAAGGGGGGAGGCCTTGGAGTCGCTTCTGGATTTCTTCAACGGCCCTTGGACAGGACAGAGGGTCGTTTTCCGATCGAGACACGTTTTTTTTCGCCGCACGGTCGGACGCGCGCTTCATTGTTAACATCATCAGCTTCAGCTTAAACTTAAATAGAAAATAAGAGCCTAATTACTAATGACTAATAGCATTTTGCTATATGCATTATACAATGATACGAGTGACCATGCGTTACTGCGCCAGCAGTTTATATAATTAACTACTAACTATAATCACGTCAGGTCATGTCCCCTGCTATCTAGCTGCTCTCATCTTTTGATGGCCACAGGCTCAGGCCAGGGGTTTAACAGCTGTGCTTTCTCCGCATGGTCACTAGAGCTTGACACCCCCTCCGCAGCCGTTTGAAAGCCCAAGCGTTCAAAGCGTTCAAGGCCAACTGGGCCCAACCTCTTGGAATGGCGGAAAGCGCAGACAGTAGCGGCGCAGGTGGCCGTGTTACGGGCGGGCCAGTGGCCAGGGGATCGGGGGCCTCGATGGGGCCAGAGGTGGCTCTGTGTGACGCGCGTCGGTCCATCCTGGAGAGCTTTGCGCCTGGACCGATCGAGGTGGCAGTTCTTGACCGGCTCTTGTCCACGCTCGTCACCGACTGCTATATGGCAACCAGCCAGCCTTGGCCATAGCCGCTGATGCGTACAACAGGCGCCACAGCATGCACTTGATGTGGTGCAACCCCGCCACACTGCGGGAGGTGACGCGGAGTTCATGCGGAACAATGGGATCCGCAGCACTCTTGCTGCTGCCTCCTATACCCCTTGCTTGCAAGGGACATTAAGCACCTTGGCACCTACGATGGCAGTGGCCTGCTTGTGGGCCACTGGCCGTGGGAAACCGTGCTGCAGGTTATGGATAGTGTGGCGGAGGAGCTGGACAAAGGATCGAGAGTGTTGGTTTGTTGCCGCAATGGATCCTCAAGAAGCGCCACTTGGATTGTTGCAATCCTCATGGTCATGACTGGGAATGGTCTGGACGCAGTCCAGGAACATGTGTCAGCGGTGCGAGCCGTTGTTAACCTTTCTACGTACCACGCGCGGAGTTTGAAGAGCCGCTTCAGCCAGGACCCCGACCGTGCCAAGACGCCGCTGCAGTGGCTCCGCGAGACCGACGGAAAGCTCAAGGAGTGGCACGCAGCCAAGTGGCAGGACAAGGGCTTTACGCTGAATTCTTTGTTGCCGCCTGAGTACAGGGCGTTCGCCAAAAGCTTGGGCTATGTGGAGCTGCATGAGGCGCTAAAGCTTCCATGAGGCTGAGCAGAGAGCCCTCAGGGCCATGAGAGTAGCGCAGGGGACAACAAGGAAGTGCAAGGCGAGAGATCCTGGTAAGAAAGCGCCTGCTGGAAAGAAGAAGCGCGCAACTTCTGAGTCTGCGAAGGCCACAGGCCAGGGCAAACGCCGCAAGGGCCCCGGCGCTCTCCATGAGCAGAAGCCAGCGAAGAGGCTTTCGAGGCCAGTGATGAGGACACAGCTTCGGGCTGCGACACGGATTTCAATTTTGGGGAAGCATCCGTGCCCCGTGACTCTGACTCTGCTGCCTTGAAAGCCCCGCCTGGCAGAACCCACCAACATCGAGCCACGCAGTGGGGTATATTTCAGTTGGCGCCTATTGTTCCCAAAGGAGGCTTGCGCGGATGGGGGGCAATATGCGGTTGCCACAAAGATCATGGTTCAACTCAGACCTCGTGCAAGAAGGCGGTCTCCTTGAACCCTGCTGCCGGGGTGAACGAGGCCGAGGCTGTCCATAGGCTGAAGCGTTGGCTACTGGCCGGGCTGGATGACGACCACTGGGCCAGGCACCGCTTGTGCAGCCACCATGTCGCAATGGGAGGCAAGCATCTGGCAGATTTTGCTACGGGACCTAGCGAGGAGGAGATGGACCAGCGGGTCGCGCATTTGCTGCGCGCTCCATAGCCTCACTAGACTCACTACCAGCATGTCGTTGACTGGTGAAAAGTCCTAAGCCTAGTGCTTGTGCGCTGCTCCAGCCATCAATGATCAATCAGGTCAGTTCGTCAGCGCTTGAAAACTGCTACTTGATAAAAACTGTTACTCGACGCGACAGTAGGGTTGCGAGAACGAATTTCAAATCGGTAAGAATTCCCGGAAGTTGGAAAAAATTCACAGAATATTGGAAAATTTGAAAGATTTTGAGATTTTTGACAAACTTGATTTCTCGACAGTATCTCGACACTAACTATATGTACTACTATTTACTTATATATAAGTGTTATATAGATCTCGACACTATCTCGACAAACAGAGCATTTCCCAAAATTCCGAAATTCTTTTCTATAAATTTACAAAAATCCAAAATTCTTTTTCCATAGCCTACTGATGCCAGCCTTTTTAAGTCTCAACCTCTGGAAGTTCCTTGAAAGTCGGCCCGCCATATCCGAAGCGCCGGACTTCGATTAGTCAGCCTCAACGACAGGTGGGCCTGTGTCCGTGAAGTCTAGCCTGCGGCAGCTGACCGTTGCCTTTCACTTGTCCAAAGTGTCGGTATGCTTGCTTTGCAGTTGTTGCAGCACAGATACGAGCCCCCCTTGACAGCGCCAGCCCAGAGGATACTTATGGAGGGAAGAGACCTTGGTGCAAGTACAGGAGGGTCACTGACCCTGCGTCACAGGAGGAGGTGAGGGTGCCTGAGGGTAAGCTCTGCTTGATCTGTTTCAACGTCTTCAGGGCCTTGGGGCTTGCGTACTTGCACCGGAACTACAGTGAGTATTGGAAGAAGGTGAAGGACAAGCAAGTTGACCACGGCCCTTTCATGGCTGGGTGAAGGACCACAACAACGCCCCAGGCAGCTCCAGGATTAGTTCCAAGGATGAATGAGGAAAAGATGAAGCAGGCCGCAGGCCAGGACATGTTGAACCTCCCTTGCATTTTTGAAGACATCACGGACATGGGGGGGGCGCGCAGCCCAGTGCTGGCAGCACGACCGAAAGTGCGCAATCAAGTCAGTTGATTTGCTTGCGGTGGGGGCTTCCTGCAAAGACATGAGTCGGGCCAATGTTAATCAAAGGCAGTTTGTTCTTACACAGGCTACCAGCCGGGGAGGGTCTGCTCAAACCTTTCACGGGCTTTTGGCTTATGTATCACAGAGCACCGGCCACTGGTCATCTTGTTTGAAAATGTCGACGCCATGGACGACAAGAGCAGCGGCGCCAGGGGAGACAAGCACAGCCCAGCAACCTTGACATTTTTCTGTCGGAGATGGCTTCTCGTGGGTATGAGGGGCAGCCAGTCATGACAGATGCAAACCAGTTTGGGCTTCCTGCCAGGCGTCGCCGTGTCTATGTAATGCTTGTGAAGGTGACAGGCAACCCCCTCCTGAATCTTGCAGCGAATTCGTTGAGCTCGCAACTGGAGACTTTTAGGCGCCTGCTTTCTCTTTGTGTCCGCTCAGCCCCATCATGCGCCAAGGAAGTTTTGCTGGACGACGAAGACCCTGCCATTAAGGCAGAGCTAGAGGCCAGGCTCCGTGCCAAGGCCACTGGCTAGGGATCTGTGGCCGGCAATTGGGCTGATCTGCACATGCAGTTTGCAGCTAGCATTGGCGTGCGGTGGGGCCAGAAAACACGAAGTGCCCTATTGAAGAACCCCTGGTTTCCATCTTTCACTCCCCGAGAGCAAGATGGGCTGCCGCTGTGCCAAGCCCAGCATCCTGGCGCATTGTTCCGCGATCTGAGCCAGTCGGTCTACAGGATGAACTCTCAAAGCCTGCAAGAGGTTGGTCGCCATTTAGCGCCAACTAATGCCTAAGCAAATGCTGTGGGTGGAGAATGGCGACGCATCAAGGCTGCTCTTGGGTCGAGAGGCTTTGCCTTTGCAGGGTTTCCCCGCCAAGCCGTTCCTCCGGCCGCTGGAGCTTGCAATCCTCGAGCTTCAGCCAAGTGGCTTGACCCTGGTTTTCTTACGGAGAGTCTCATGGCCGACCTGGCAGGGAATGCTATGGCGGTCCCGGTAGTCTTAGCAATGCTGCAGGCCACTATTGCTGCGCTGGAATGGCAACGGCCGGGGTCTTTGTCTGCGGCTTCTGAAACTGTTCCGGCTTCTGAAGAGGATTGGTTGCGAGGGTGGCGGTGATCCTGATACTGATCGACAAGATAGATGGTGTAAACTATTGTATATGTAGGCGAGCGAGCCCTAGTGTCGGACTAGGTGTTACCCGTTCCATATCACTAATCAATCAATCATGAATCATGAAATCAAAATAAGTTATAGACATAGACTATGAGCAGAGCATGTCGTGCATTTTTCATCGCCAGCCCCCCGCACAAGCTGTTGTTCCAGGAGATTGCGCTGGCAATGGCGGCTGTCCAGAAGATGTTTCAGATTGCACGCGGAGCCCGCAACAAAAGAGAGTCAGAACAGCTGCCCATTTTCAAAAGCGGCTTGGTCCCATCGATGAGGGGCCACTGGCCGGGGGAAGGCGCCTGAGCGACGTAATGCGCCCAGACTTGATCTCTGAGCCGATGTTCAAGGAAGAACAATTAAGAAGAAGCAGAAGAAGATGAAGACAGCCAAAAGACGCTTCGCCTGCCTGGGTGACCTTTGGCCGCTGCCCTGTCCGCAACAACAGCGCAGCTGGAGCATGTCTGCGCCCGGAAAAAGTGCATGGGCCCTGTGCACTGTGCACTCCTGAGTTTCTTTTCGCCTTGCTCGCCAGTGGAGGGGCGTGCTTGCTGTCCAATGATTCGTCCCGTCGTCGCGTCGTCGCATCGTGCAAATTGGCGTATTTCACGAGTAACAACTGTTGGGCCCCCTGCATGTGGACATGATTGTTTTCCTGGCGGTAGTTCCGAGTCACGCGGGGCCGCGTCGTACGAACGCTTGCAAGACTTTTCAGGGTCATCTTCTTTGGGCGGGCCATTTAAAGGCAAAGGCATCCTACATCAGCACCGGACCATTGCCTGTGATATTATGTAGGTTCTAGGTTATATCCTAATCAAAGCTGACCTGTACCTATAGCCTAGCCCCTTATAGCCCTATGAGCTTTTCATTGTTGAAATTTCTTGAACTTTTCGGATTTGGATTAGGTAACCAGCAACCACTGTTCCTCCCAACCCTGCCGTGGACGAAGTTTGAGGGTTCTGCCCATGCAGCTGGAAACCCACTCCACAACCACTACTGTTGGCCATGCGCTCAAGCGACATGCTTTGCACTTTTGCCGCGATCCTGAAGTGAGGATGACTCACGGAGGACGATGGAAGAGGACTTGGGGCCACAGGCCAGGGTATCTGCCGGTCGCGAGCAGCGTTTTGCCACTTGCACAGAGCAGCGTTGCGCATGCAGCGTTGTCCCGGCGGAGCAGATTGCGTGGGCGCGCGGCGTGCGGATAGCTTCAGGGATTCGAGTTTTTAGGGCCATGGGCCATGACTCCATGATTATTTAAATGTAGCAATGACTCCTGACGAATTGTGATCAAACCACCATTGAATTCTCAAAAGGCTTGTGAGTAATCACGCTTTGGGCGTGCAAAAAGTGTTCAAAAGTAAGTGTTGTAGGCTTGTGGATGACAAATCACTGTACCCACATACTTTTATAATATGTTTATTGGAAATACATTGTTTTTCAGTTGCCTTTTCTTTTTGTGAAGAATTTTATGTTTTTAGAATCTATATTTCAGAAAATGTTTTTTATATGTCTGTATGGTTTTAAGATTTTTGGAAAAATTGTGTTTCAACTTTTTATGTTTTTAATATTTCTGGAAAAAGATTTTCAACGCCACAAGCCTACAACACTTACTTTTGAACACTTTTTACACGCACCAGGTGTGATTGACCACAAGCCTTTTGAAAACACTCAATATATATTCATATGTTTATAGCTACAATACATTTTATTGATACATTGTATGGGCGTACTGCACAAAGAAGTGCAAGCTGCAGGATGACAGTTTATTGATACATTGTATGGGCGTACTGCACAAAGAAGTGCAAGCTGCAGGATGACAGTCTATTGATACATTGTGTATTATCTCATTGATGACGTTCAACGAAAAGAAACCGTTTTTCATTGTTCAATCTCATGACTTAGAACATCGCATTGTTACGCATTTCCTTGACCTTAAGCTTTGGACATCGCTGACTGGCGCAAGCTTTAGCAAAAAACATCCAAGCAATGTTCTAAGTGGATGTCAATTACTTTGAAACGGCCCAAACACCTTCTTGTTGCTTCCTGGCATTGCACAGAATGATAACAATGCATAGTGAATTTGCAACCACTTCGCGGAACTTTCCTATGTGTCTGTGTGGTGCTCAATTTTGGTGGAAGTCTTGCCCAAGCACAACAGTGATTCGCCAAACCCACTCCAACATCTCCAACCTTACTGCCTATGTTATGTTTCGCATGGATTCGAAATGGCAACGCCTCGGATGCAAAGGAAGGATTTGAGATTCTGATTGAGCCTTGTCACCCTGGAAGGTGAGTCCTGCAGTTTGTAGAGGTCGTTTGGGAGGATGGGCGCCCTTTATTGGCACAAGTGGCATTTTGGTGTCTTACTTAGTGCCACATGGCAGCAATGTGGGCTTGGTTAGGTTGACTATTTTGTTCTTCCGTGTAGTTGTTTGATAGTAGAAGAGGTGCATTGAAAGTGCCAGGATTGAGCGAGTCTACCTTTAGATGTCAACTGCCTTCGATGGGTTTCTTGAGTCTAGGTAATATGCAAACATGTGTTGTTCTCTCCGAGCATACCAAACATCAGCAGAACATCTGACTTTCTGGCAGGACCCCAATTCATTTGGCCTGGAAGCTTTTTTGTGGAAAATTTGTTGTTTTTTCCCCACATCACTATGTGGGGTTCTTGTTTTTCGCTCTGCACCCACCGCTCCGGAACCGCCTTCTCCACCTCCTCCGCCTCTGCCGCCGCCGCCTTACACCACTCCACTACACCACTATTTTACACCACTCCACTACACCACTCATCTTACACCACTCATCTTACTCCACTCATCTTAAACCACCCATCTTACACCACTCAGCTTACACCACTCATCGTACACACTCATCTGACACCACTCACCTCACACCACTCATCTCACACCACTCATCTTACACCACTCATCTCACACCGCTCATCTTACACCACTCATCTTACTCCACTCATCTTACACCACCCATCTTACACCACTCATCTCACACCACTCATCTTACACCACTCATCTTACACCACTCATCTTACACCACTCATCTTGCTCCACTCATCTTACACCACCCATCTTACACCACTCATCTCACACCACTCATCTTACACCACTCATCTTTCAGCACTCACCTCACACCACTCATCTCACACCACTCATCTTACACCACTCATCTCACACCACTAATCTTACACCACTCATCTTCTATACACCACTCATCTTCTATACACCACTCATCTTACACCACCCATCTTCATCTCACACCACTCATCTTACGCTACTCATCTGCCTGACTCATCTCACACCACTCATCAGGCACCACTGCCTTTTGTGTGGCAGGCACAGCACTCTGTGCACCTGGAGTGCGGGTTTCCTGGCAGTCGCAGTGCACAGAGCCTCCCGGAGCAGCTGCGGCGCGCGTGGTCGCCGCTGGGCCGCGGCTGCCGCTTTTGTGGCAGGCGCAGCACTCTGTGCACCTGGAGTGCAGATTTCGTGGCAGGCGCAGTACACAGAGCCTCCCGGACCAGCTGCGGCGCGCGTGGTCGCCGCTGGGCCACTGGCAGGCACAGCACTTGGTGAACCTGGAAGGGAGATTTCGTGGCAGGCACAGCGCTCTGTGCACCTGGAGTGCAGATTTCGTGGTAGGCAGTACACAGAGCCTCCCGGACCAGTAGCGGCGCGCGCCGTTTTGTGTGGCAGGCACAACAATCTGTGCACCTGCAGTCCAAAATTTCGCAGGCGCAGTACACAGAGCCAGCTGCGGCGCGTGTGGTCGCCGCTGGGCCGCGGCTGCCTTTTGTGTGGCAGGCGCAGCACTCTATGCACCTGGAGTGCAGATTTGGTGGCAGGCGCAGTCACCGAGCCTCCCGGACATGGTCGCCACTGGCCGCGGCTGCCGTTTGTGGAGATTTCGTGGCAGGCACAGCGCTCTGTGCACCTGGAGTGCATCCTCCCGGACCAGCTGCGGCGCGCGTGGTTGCCGCTGGGCCAGCACTTGGTGAACCTGGAAGGGAGATTTCGTGACAGGCACAGCACTCTGTGAACCCAGAGTGCAGATTTCGAGCGCGCACCACTCCCCACACATCATCACACACTGCGCTCATCACACAGCACTCATCACACACCACTCATCTTACACCACTCATCACACACCACTCGTCACACAATTCTCATCTTACACCACCCATCACACACCACTCATGACACACCACTCATCACACACCACTCATCTTACACCACTCATCACACACCACTCATCACACACCACTCACCTTACACCGGTCATCACACACCGCTCATCTTACACCACTCATCACACACATCTCATCACACACCACTCATCTTACACCAGTCATCACACACCACTCATCTTACACCAGTCATCACACACCACTCATCACACACCACTCATCTTATTCACTTTTATCGGATTTTATCGTCCAGTTTCTGTCCGTCCTCTTTTCATATCAGTCTCTACTTCTCGTTTTTTTAGCTCTTACAAACTCAACATGTGGGGTTGTCCTGTCCTTTTTTTTGTTTGCCCCTTAATTTGTAAAATTTGTCCTGTATTGGGTCTCATTGGCTGCGCTACGCAACAGAGGTCTGCAGTGTTGCAGACCTTCCCCAATGCGGCTTGGAGATTCCAAATTGGCCTGGGAGCTACACGGCGCCAAACATGGTCGGAGTGCTGTTCGCCTGTTTTTTGTTCGGCAGTCTCTGAAAACATGATTCTGAATAGCTGAATCTGCCAATTCTTCTTGCCCATGAAGCTGGACAGGGTCTTCCTGTGTCGAACAAATGTTTCGCATGTTTTGGTTCTCCTGTTATTGTACATGCATGAGTACAAGTGTTATAGTAAAAGGATGTAAAAGGAGGTGCTGCCATGCACTCGCGACTCACATGACAAAATTTGGCTACATCAAACGTCTCAGAGCCAAGGCTGTTCCAGCACTTGCGCAACTCTTCCTCAGCGGGAACCTCCCGGAGACGCCGCGCTGGCTGCTCTCACAATCCCGAAAGGGAGAGGCGAAAGAAAGTCTTCGTCAACTCTTTCGCAAGGCCTGGTTTGTCAGTTCACGTATCCGATATTGTGCCGACAGTGGCCTTCCAAGATCAATGACATTGAAATTGGTTCCCTCACAAAGTGGCTGTTGCCTTGCTGCATCCAGGTGCACAGCAGGTGCATTGAGGAAGAGATGTCCAGACTTGAGGCGATTGACGTGGATGGGCATGGCTCATGTGTCGTCCTACGTCCTCTTGAGTTGTTCATGTCATTTGCTTCATGCCATGGGGCACCGTCAAGCTGGATGGATGTGGAGGATGTGGTGGGTTGTTCAGTCACCTGAACCTAGCTAGCAGCAGATTTGTTGGACTGTCACACTTCATGGCCGGAACAGTTTGCCATCGTTTGCCCATAGGTTCATTCATTGTCTATTTACAGTATTGCATCTAGGTTGCAGCTCCATTGTAACCTTCGTTTGTCAAGATTCAGATGCAGTTTGCAACAGGTAATAAAGCCTTAGTGAAGCTGGTTAGATCATTTCAGACCCGAGAGTGCAAATTGCACATGGATCTTGTATTGGCATCGGGAATAACCTTATTTGGAATAGTTTTTTTCTTGTTGATTGGCATTGAAGCGCTGGGACGGGGTTGGGCTGTGCTTCGGCCGCTGCGGAGTCAGAAGTGCTTTGGCCCTGCAGGGGGACCTCCGTGCCATCTCGGACGTTCCAAACGTTCCAATGTGGGGGGCTCTTTGGTGGTCAGCACAGAGCCACTTGGAGGAAGTGTGGGACGCTGAAAACTGATTGTGCCTTTATAAACGCACTCTCGTGCCAATGGTCGCACATTTGTCAACCTGATCGAGTATTCTCGGCCATTTGGTCACTGCAGTCCCATCAATTGTACCATACCGCTTTGAAGCAATGCAAACAGAAGATTCACCAGAGGCAGCTACTTTTGTCGGTGTTGGCATCAACGTGTTGCAGCAGGCGGGTGTGTTTTATCAAGGCAAATCGGACAATCAGACTGTTTCCTCAATGAGCCACGGCGCACCCATCACCTGCTACAGGTGTCAGGCATCAACGTCTTCATCTATTTTGCCGAACAGCTGCTTGCTCTTTGTTGAAACTAAAATCCTCTAACATTGCTTGCGAGCCGCTTCAGCCGGGCTTCCTGTTCAAGACATCATGGATCATGATGGGTAGTAAACGGCCCCATAATATGGCTTCACTTTCAAAAGGCAGCTAGGAAGCAGCTAGCAGTTACTAAATTAAGGCTTGAAGCTGTTGAATCTGAGGATCTTGGATGACGCCGGTCTTGGCCACTATGCCATGCTTTCTGCAGCCATTGTAAGTGGCATCCAACTGGCGGCCACTGCTGTGACCTCCTTAGCAAAAACCAAAAGGACTGGTGCATGCAATGCAATGTTCTATACTCTATACCAGGATTGGAACCTTCCAAAATTACCTATTTGATTTAGTTTGCTAGACTTCAGGAGAAAGAGAGTGAACGGAACGGGACAGGACGATGTTGCCTCACTGCATTCTTTGAACTTTGACTGTTGGCAGTAGACGCGCTGTAGCGTTTGCTTTTGCTAGGCTTTGATCAGATACATTGACAAACTGGGCCGACGGCCCTTGGCTGCCACTGGCATCGTCGGCATGCTCGTGGGCTTAATGCCGATGCCCCAGAGGTCCTTAAATAATATTATGACTTCAGAACAGACTCCGTTTTCTGCCAGAGGTCTTCTGACGCCAACCATCCGTGCCCGGCCCAGGCTCATTGTGGTGGGTTCCCTCCTGCGAGGGGCGGGTGCCTTGCTCAGTGTCACGGCCTGGAGACTCGGAAGACCTGGCGAGACTGTTGGGGCCCCGGTTCTGGGCCCCTTTGGGTTTCATGTTGTCGGATGATTTTGAATGATTTTTGATGTCTTCAAGGCTCCCGGCTCCAAAAGTGGAGACAGAAATTCTATAAAACAGAGATTTCACGAGATGAAAGAAGAGATCAGTTGTTTTTGAGGCAAGATCAATAGGTTTTGAGGACGAGACTAAGACAGGCATCGGCATCATTTGCGGAAAGAGACGATCGAAAGATATCAAAAGCCATCAAAAGCCCAAACTTTGTCTTTTGGAACACCTGTGGCCTGGGCCCCTTGGGCCTCATTCCACCAAACTTAGGCTTGGTTTGCCTTGAGTAGCATGTTGATCTACCGCGCTGCATTTTCCTTATCTCTTGGGCCGCCGAGGGCCCAGTTGATTGGACCCATCGTGACCCAGATGTTACGCTTTATTCTTATGAATTACAATTACAGCGTTATTACCAAGATCATGCAGGTCAAGTGTAGTTAGTTGTTCAAGGACGTTCTTTACGAAATAAGTATTTTTTAGTTATATGTCAGCAACGGATCAAATGATAATACACTTCATGTCCGTTCTGCAGACTTCCCAAGTCACCGGTTGACAAGCTTCCTTGGGCATGTGCCGCGTGTGCGATTGAAAGCTGGTAGAAACCACTGACAAGAGTCTTTGTGGAAGTGCAAAGTTGCAAATTTGGAAAAAGACAGCGGAATAGTCTTGTGAAAAACACGCAGGTGAAGAATCATTAGGAACGTACCTAGTAGTTGTGTGCATTCTTTTTGCTTACTAAAGCAATTCCTGGTGCCACCGTCAGAATCTGAGGGTGACACTGATTCAGAAGCAACCCATGTTTGTCATTTTAGCAGGCCTTGCAGACTTGGATTTGGAGCTTCGGAATCTTCCCATGGGTTGACAGAGAGTGCCTGATGACCCATGTAAAGTTTTTGGAAGCTAAACATCTTCAACATTATGGACTGGTATAGCAGCATAGCAGTGATTTTTTTTGTAGTGCAACCAGCCATCGTTGATGTCCAAGATGCGCTGTGCAACATTTGTTTTGCGTTGACAAAGAACACTTTTGGACTGGCTGCTGAGCAGATGGGCGGTCTTTTGTGGGGTAATCATTTGGAAGTCTTAGTGAAGTAACTTACTGTAGCAGATGCCATTTTTGGGGTGCTCAGGTTGCCCTACGTCATGACTTCGGAGTTCTTCGCGCAAGAAGCGCGAGCGGCAGGAGATCTTCGGGTCGTCTCCTTCTGCCAGGTTTATGGTTTATGTGATACATGATACACGTCTTGGCATATTCAGCGAACAAAGGAACACACATTAAGAAAAGAAGGCAAGATGCCCGTCTAGAAGGCAAGGGCTCCTCTAGAGGGGCCTGATTTTTTATGTTTCTCTCATGCCGATCAAACGAATCAACGGCGACCATAGAGCGTTCGTCCAACCTCTCAATCAATCTGGTCGAAAGAAATGATCCATGAATTAGGTGTATCTTTGGCCCCCCTGCAAAAGGCCCGGCAAATATGTTCCAGAACAGAATTTGAAAGCCACACTTGGGCAGCAACGAAGGCACTTGTTGGAAACGATTTCATTATTGTTGTTCTTGAATTCAAGAAAGAGAGGTGCAGCCGAAATCTGCTTCAATTAGAGGGGCCTGATTAAAGGGATGCCTTGCCTTCCCTTTTTCATGTTTTTCTTCATGCATTGATTAAAGGGGCCTGTTGATGCCGCTAGGAGTTGGTTTCTGCTGGGCCATGAATTGGCTGTCGAACTTCGGGGTCTCTTTGTGCTTCAAAGTCTTGGTGAAGGCCGGAAGCTGACACTCAAGAGTGGTTAACTAACAAGCAAAGGCGAAGGACAAAAGGTCGATTGCAAAGAACCCACATTAGATCTGAGATAAAGTAGAGCCTTGGGTTGTGATTTGCAAAACCTTCTAAGCAAGCTCTCCTGTGTCGTTCCCGCAAGCTGCCAGGCTCTTCCTGGCCCTTACGGACAGGCAATCATTTTTGGCACCTAGCTCATTTATGGCTTCAAATCTTGCACATGTTTCAGTCAAGCTGCTTTTGACAAATTACACTTGCTTTTTGGAATTCAACACACGAGGACACACTGTGTCTTGACTATAGGCAAACACACATATTTTACATACTGCATCCATACATGGAGTTTTTGGTTACCGCACGTGCTTTCAAGCTTCAATCAAAGTCTGCGTTTGCCCCATGTACGAGACTTATCACTTTACATGACATGTTTAGTCCTGTTTGGTGGCGTTGGGAAGGCAATTGAATAGCTTGTTACTGTACATCAAATATTATTGCGGAGCTAGGCCAAAAAGTCAAGCTGCCAATCACCTGAGGCATGTACATGTTCTTTTGCGTTGTTGCTTTGGCCACACTCCCAGATATCCGAAGATTTGCATGCGGACACTGGCATGTTCAGCTTACTAGATGATACAACTCTTGCAACTACATCCAGGAGGTAGCAGGCTTCACATGCTTGCCGGAACCGGATATTCCTGTGTTATACCTTATGTTTGCAGCGTTTTGCATCCGCACGTCTGGCTGAGGTCTTTGTTCTTTTGCTTTTGCCCGAGACCAACGGGGTTTCCTTGGAGGATGGAACCTGGGGTATCTTGCTGAAGATTGCAGTACAAGGCCTTTCTCTCAAGTATATATATATATAAGGAGGTCTTCCATTTCATCTCAGAATCTCTTGGACATATTGAAGGACAATCCTGACGGAACTGCGGGATCCTGTAGAGATTTCCTACTGTGCAAATTGTGAGGTACCTCAGGCTTTCGAATCACTGAAATCCTGTTTCACGCGTGACATCATACATATTCAGAATCATGTGTATGTATTCAATTGATTTCAATTGTATTCATACACAAACATAATCAAAGTGTTATAGAAAAAAAGGGGAACACGATCAGAGTTATTTGACGTTTAAGATCTGTTTGATTCGTCAGGCGCATGCAGAGAGAGCTCGGCTTCGTGAGGCCGGGTCAGCCCAACAGACTGAGCGTGGTGGGTCCCAAGCATCAAGACACTTGGTAGACTTTGAGGATACGTATGTCCAACAATCAATATTTAATGTTTAGTAGTACGCTACCTTTTGGTGGGTGCAAGTGTCATTTTCATTCCCTTTGGAAAAAGCCGAAGCTTTTGTGTCAACGTGTGGATTCTGTGGATTCAGTAGACACGCAAGCTGTGCTACAGGTCTAAATTGAGGAACAGATAACAGATGCGTCTCTTTGCGTGTGAAACTGCTTGAAGACAAAGGAGTGAGCTTTGATGGGGCCATTTGTGTTGATAGAAGAACCAGGGTAACCAGCGTATGTTCCTTGAACACGATTCTGGGCTTTCAACGGTTCGTTGTCAAGTGCGAAATACTTGTAGTCCACTGTGGTTGGAGGATTCAACTTGGTTTTCATTGTGACATACTTCATTTGATGTTCTTGGGCACTTGTTCTTATTTGGAGTGTGTTTCTTCATAAGTCGCAAGGACACAAGTACTGTAGCTTGATTAGCAGCTTATCCACCAATATGGGCTGCCATTGAGTAGCTGCTTACCTCGTCAGCGAACGCAATGTAAATGTTTTGATCATTGTTGATCACAATTTATTCAAGGTTCAAACCAATTATTTCTTTTCTGCGACTTGGTAGAGTATGGTAAAGTGCAACGCTACCGACTGACCTTATAGTCACCAGTCTTGAAGTGGCGGTGGGGTATTCTCAGCTTGCCAGGAGTCCTCCACAGACAATGCTCGCATTTGAAAGGCCAGAGTTTGGGAGCACACTGACCACAACTGTGTTGCAAACTGACAGTCATTGGTACTTCATCCCTAATGCCTTGAATCAGCTGCATATATCTGCAGAATTCTAGATCAAGTACCCGTGCGTTTCACACGTCTCCCAGTGCATTTCTGGCTGTCCCTCGGACAATGTGCGTTGGCAGGTCGTTCACCTTGCTTCGAGCAAAGATTTTAACGAGTTGGACAGTTTCTGATAATGCATAGCTGCTGGAGCTTGCTTGCAAGGATGTCCAATCATCAAGAGACATGGCAACATTATTAAAGGCGATATTTGCCTCACAATTATAGTCATTTTCTGGCCTGATTCGAGCATGTTTCAGCCAGCCTTCGATCCGAAAGTTATGCTTATGAAGGTTTCTGTACGCCTGTATGCGCAATCGCGCATTCTCGGTTGCAAATCAGGAGCGCGCTTCAAAAGGTGGTCCTCGACATTCACTTGATAGTCATCCGGGATCACGTTTGTTGGGACAGCAGAAGGGATCACCAGAGGTGTGTCACTATACATATATAACTAATAATATATATGATATCTTAGTTTCATCTAACATCTAGAATATTACTTTAGAGGTGCGAAGGACTCCCTGGAAGAGTAGAGATCAACTAGAGCCTACAGGTTGGGGTCTTCCTAGTCTGACGCATTCTAGTCTGGGTACACACCCATTTGGAACTCGTAGAATCACATTAACTCACATTGTTTTTTTCAATACCCCCGACCGATAATAAGCAGAGTTCGTTCAAGGACTTTGTTAACGGCTTTTGTCATCTCTGAATGTGAGACAAAAGGTTGTGCTGCATGCCCGTGTGGCGCGAAGCTGCCTTTGTTGCTTCAGCTTTGGGCCAATGTACGCTGGTGTAGGTTTGTTTGCATCAACCTGAGATGCTTTTATTGTGATTCAACTCCACTCTTTCTATATAGGCAATGGTATTAAAATCCTTCTACAATTCTTCCACAATTCAGTACAGATCAAATGAAAGGTGGTGGCTTGACATTAGCTTTGCAGGCTTTGCACCTTAATTCGTGTAGTTTAATTCGGAGCACCTTCACATGTGACTCGAGTATAGGATCTTTAGTTCCAAGTATTCACAGTGAAGTGAAGGTGCTGAGCCAATCACTGCCGAAAGCGATGGGTGCTTGGTTCAGCCGAGTCGACACCTTGGCTCTGTGAAGGATTGCTCAATGAAACCTCGAGGTTGTTTGGGGTGCCCTTTGACTGCCATAGGATGCCAATGAGGCATGAGGCAGGCTTATTCCATTTTACCGTTCTGACTGGCCAATGTGGCCAACAGAACATTGAGAGGCATCATTGCTTTGCCATATCAGTGTATTTCAGCGATACTCATTATTGTAATTGTATATGTATAGTTGTTTATATGTGATATATTAATATTGATACTAATATTAATATTAATAGTAATGTATATATACATAATATTATATATACACAGACACATATGTACACATACACATACATCATATTATATTCCTTTCACATGCAAACGGTCACAGTTGTGGTATAAGCCAGGAGTCAATGTCCGTCGTTCGCCAAGTCGAAGTTGACTGTCTTCGATGTCTTCGACCTGGGAGATGTGATTGGCAGCGGGAACTTCGGCCAGGCTGTAAGCGGGACGGCAGCGGCACGGGTATTCTTTTCTTATAGAATCTTATAGAATGATGGACATAATGACATCTATTCTTAGTTGTTTCCATTTATTCATATTAATGTCTTAATGGCTCTATTTTTAGCTTTCTACAGATCTTTTTAGGGTACATTTTGTGCCGAACTTGTCTTCAACATTCTTCAACCTGCTCTTGTGTCAAATCTTCAATGGTGGAAAGATTACGGCAGGTCTTGCTTTGCACGCGGCGTGATGAGCCGACTCAGGCGTGGTTCGTTCGATGTCGCCTGCGTTGGACACGATGTTGCCTGGGTCATAGGCCTTCGCCGTGAAGGTTGTGGACATGGAGAGTAGCCAAGCTAAAGCGATGCAGGCGTGGAGTCGTGTAGAATCCGATCCTTTGGGCCCGCTTCATATCACCATCGCTTGTGCACTGGAAATTGTACACCACTCCCCCAACTGAGCGACTTCCATGTTAGTCTTGGGAAAGGTGCTTGCTGTAAGACGCACCGGCACATCCGACTGTCTTGCTAGTGCATAGGGTGCGTGCTAGCTATAAGACGCACCGGCGCAACTGACTGCATTTCTTGAGTGTGGTGCTGAAGGCCCCACTTCCCACTCCCCAGGAAACGTTGAGGGGGGTTAGATGCCCTTACCAGCTACACACAGCAAAGGAGACAGCGAACTGGGTTGCTTTCGCTCTTACTCAGCAAATGGACATCAAACCATCAAGCACAACATATATGTTTCAAAAAAGAAGCATAGCCAGAGCTTTCGCTCCGCCAGTCTTTATTGTGTCTTGACATGACGGTTTTGACGTGCTTGGGTATCCAACTTTCAGCATTGCAGGTTTACCAAGCCGCTCGAGATGAGGACTGTTTTGGGGTGAGTTGTCGCTCCTGTCATGTTTTACTGGCCTTGAACGATTTTTGAGTGGATATGCCATATGCCTTGTGCACGCGAAAACAGTCAAATGTGGACCAGTCATTTGATTGACAACTATGTGCGACTCCTCTTTCCAAGGATCTGTGACTGTTTTGACCAGCATTTTGACTCTTGATGTCATAACGCGCGACTTGTCATGACATTCTGCTGCAGTTGGAGATCATGAAGGGCTTGAATCATCCCCACATTGCAGCTTGGACCATTCGTTGTGGCGACGAGCCGAAGACCCGAAGACTTGCTCGGTGTGATGGTGAGACCCAGGAAGCCGATTGCCATGTGTTGTTTCAGTGAAACACGAAACTGCGGTGAAAACTGAGGTGAAACTCATCCAAGTCTTCCAGGATACTCACCTATTTGGAGCTTGACAGGGCCATGTCCATTGAAGCTTGATGATGGTTGTGTTTTGATTCAGTCTGACTGATGATTCTTTGTGTGTGGAAGAGACATTTGCCGCCTACATTTGCACCGTAACTTGTGACACCACTTTCTCCACACACGTCAAGATATTGAAGCTGTTGCTCAATGTCTCAATGTTCTACAAGGTGAAAACTACCATCAACTTGTGCAGTTTGAGTCGGTTAATCGGCACTCAAGAACGCTCAAGAATGCATGTACACAATGCTGCCTCCAGGCTCAAATTGATATTCAATTTTGACCCATATTGTCAATTTGATTCTCACTTCAAGTTTTTCCGCTGACAAAATTGTATATGTTTTTTAAATAGGGAGTAGGGACACTAGCACTTTATTTGTCAAACAGCATCAAACAGCCAAAGGAACTCTCGTAGAGGGCACAAACAAACTGTTCAAGGGGTTAGGGCAGACTCAGCCACCTTGTTTCGACGTCTCCTTTTTGTCCTTGCCGGGGCCGGGACCCTTGGCTTTTGTCACATTGGCCTCCAGACACATAGACACTGGATTGACACGGACAGTTCTGATAGTTCTGGATGCGTTAGTACAATCAGTCAGACATGCCGTGAGTTGCTGTAATGTCTACCATGTGGCCATTCTTTGTAGAAGTGCTCAAATGCATTTATGTGCTTACTCTGCTGCCACCGTTTGGAACACCCTGGTCTTGTTGATTATTCTGGTTGGTCGGGAGACATAGAAGGGCTAAGGGGTACTGCAGTCCCAGTGCAACAACGTGATTGACTGACATTGCTTGCCGGGCTCAAGGTAGATAGGAAGGAAGAGGGCCCACAGCGATTTACAATAAGTGACTTGAGACACAAGGTATGGAGGCCGCAAATTCAGGCAACCAATGGCAACCAGGGGTCTACTTATGCTTGCCTTCCTCCAACGATTTTGTCGAGGAAATAATGAGAACAAATGTTCAGTCCCACAAATAGTAGAGTCGGGAGTCAAACAAGCTGTGCTTGAGCATTGACGGTGGTGTGATCACGACCACAAGACTGTGATTGCAAGCAGGTCCTGTGTCCAATTTGTCCCAACTAATTTCTTGTCGAAAACGAATTTTCCAAGCACATCCGATAGCGCTGAACAACCTGTGGTTTTCAATCGACGTTGAAGAGCTGGTCCATGGTGGAAATGCGCAGCTGCTCGGAAATCTTGGTCCCTAGCAGCTAGCATTACAGTATCTCACAACCACGGGAAGGCATTCTTTAGGTCTTAGGTCCACCACTTCCCAACGTCATGTTGGACATTCTCCAGCATGGACTTGCCCTATAGAGCAAGCTTTTGGACAGAGTACTAATTATCCTGCTCGCCACCACTAGTCACTAGTCCCGTCTCAATGTTGATTTTTGTTTGCCTCCACTGCCTGTTGAACTGCTGAAGTTACTCCACAAACCAGAATTTAGCAACGAATGCGCACTGACTTTCCAGGAAGCCAACATTTTGTTGTGGCATGCCAAGTCTCCCTGTAGAGTGTGTAGAGCCAGTCGAGCGAGCTAGTGACCGAACTTTGAGATTAAATTGATGTGACTTCGGAGGCGGTTTCTCCAAGGCATACCCGGGCACTGAAACTAAGAATGAGATCTGTTTGCTGTTCAGGCTTTTGTGGACTGGACTAGCAGCTCGCGACCGAGCCAACTGGTCCGAGCCAAGGCTATGACGGCCGTGCACACATGGGAAGTGATTGGTGGGGCGATCTCTGGTGGCTTGCTGGTGCGAAGTGGCAGAGCACTAGGCGCGGGGATGACCTTGTAACTAGGAGCTACTAGGTGGAGGCCATCGCTACTATAGTACCAAGAAGCTACGACTGAAGTGCTTTCAGATGGTTTGGCCGTTGGGCGGATTCGTGCAGGCTCAGAGCGAGAATCACAACGCTTGCGTACAGGCAGGGGCGGAGGTGTCCGTTCTTCAACGCTTGAGTATATTTATACAGTAGAGTGGGCATACTGTTAGACATACCGTACCAGTACCAGGAATGGAAGAGCACGTCGTGGACGAGTGGCACTTGAAAGTAAATAGCAACAAAGCAAAGAAATGTTGCTTTGAAGGTTCATAGGTTGACAGCAGAACTTGGGTTGAGTGCTCTTGAAGACTCTGACCTTTGTTGGATGGGGGTGAGGTGCCTGCGGCAAACTTTCATACTATGCCATACTTGGAGATTCGTGTCTCGCTCCTTTCTTCCCTCCCGCTCCCTCATGTCCTTCCGTTCTTGAAGATCTTTATTCTCAGCTGCCCTCCTCTTCTGATAATACTGCGATGTATTCTGATCTTTCATAATACAATTTACAAGTTATACGGCATATACAGTGAAGGTTGAGATTCAGCATGTTGAAACCACTACGGAAGACAAAAGCCTTTGAAGCGGAATCAGCAGTTACGTGCACGCTCCTCGTAGAAGAGAAAGGTTCACAGTCTGTGTTGAGATGGCAAATGTCCTGGAGGGGCACCTGTGCTGCCTGTTTGCATCTCATTGTCAATCTAGTCTCGGCCAAGCCACACACACACAGAGGGCATCGGTTTAATTTGACCAACTCTGAAAGTATAGGAACGTGTTGACCTTACGCAGTTTGCCCTCCCATGTCAGGTCTTACTCAGTTCGTGCTTCCTACCAGTTTAGACTCTGTAGGCCAGCTACGGCTAGCAAACCGAGTGTTTGTTGATTTCTATCCAGCTTTGACATGTGGGCTTGAAAGGCTCCGTTGTGGAGCAAATCGAACTTGATGGAGAACGTCTCCACTACAAGCTGCTGGCCAAGATGAAATCGGAGAGAAATCTGGTCAGAGAAAATAGAATCATTGCATGACATATGACATGGGTTCCTTGCATTCTCAACAAATCATGAGCAACTGTTCTTTCTGGGCAATAGTTATGAATATGTTATGAATGCATGAGAGCATACGTCCACAGTGCCTAGGTTGCTGGAAGGAGCTGGGCCGTTGACTGGCTGGGTGAGCACCAAACTTGGGGAGACTTGGCCGCCGAAATGAGCCCAGACTGGATTTTTTGCCCGCAAAGCCGCGAAGCGGCAGTCTTGGTGTGCAAGCACAAACTTATTAAACGCAAGCTTAGCAAGTCTTTGTTCTTTTTGGAGGTGGGGTAGGCCGCCAGCATGTAGGGGAGGTAGGTTAGCTAGGGAGTCAGTAGCTTGTGGAAGCAAGGTAGCTAGTAGCTACAAGAACGCTACTACATATGGGCTCAGGATAGCTCACGCTTCGTCAAGGAAGCTCCCCCCGCCGCCCTAAATGGTGGCGGGGGAAGCTTCCTGGAAGAAGCGCTCGCACTAATGATTTGGTTTCAAGATTTTTAGGGAAACTTGACATCAGAATTAGACGCGCCGGCCACGAAGACCGTGCCCTGCCCGGAGGGTATTCGGTGGTAACCGAAGGTTATATACGGGCGCGCCCCCTGCCGCCGACCCTCGTCATCAAAACGGGCGGACCACCGGGTCACTGAAGCCCCTGTAATTTACAGTGTATCGTGTGTGTGAGGTATAAAAAACACTGTGGTTTATTGCGCATATCGAAGTACGACGCGGGGAAAGGGGAGAAGTGCAAAAATGCTGTGTTTTTCAAGGGTGGTGCCGGTAATGCGCGCCGGGCGGACAAGCTTAATCGACATTTTGTGGGTAGAGGCCCTCCAGACAACTTACGTTGCCTAACATATCCTCAACATAGGCCCAAGATAGCCAACATATCCCCAACATAGGCCAACATGGGGCCAACATAGGCCCAACATAGGCCCAACCTAGGCCAACATAGGCCTAACATAGGCCAAACATAGAGGCTCAACATGCCCAACATAGACCACATGGGCCCCACTTGGCCCAACAACCTAGGGCCAAGATGCGCACCAGATAGCTTAACTTTGCTCAATATAGGGCCCCCGTCTCCGACGCAGACCAGTTTCCGGCACCACCAGGGCCCAGTATGCCCCTGATAGCTTAACGTGCGCCCGACCCAGCCCTACACAGACCCAAGTGGGCCGGCGCCCGGCTGTTAGGCGTAAGCCTTTAAATTCAGACATGCCTGGGTTTAAGCTGCGTACAGGATTGTCGGAATTATGCTTCATATCACATGACACACCCCAGAGACAACATATTCCCTGCGAATACCTTTGGATATGATATCACTGATACTGGAAAGTCAAGGATGATTCGGAAACAATGATTGACAAGCTACCACATGATTCGGAAACGACACTGATTTGGAAGCCAAGCCTATATTCTTACTGGGAGTCGCATGCACGACTAGTTCTACTAATAATAGTTCTGGTACCGTTGCACAATTCCCGGTCTTTCTTCGGAGCCTTTGTAGAATTTAGTGAACATCTCGAACAAAGATAGTGGTTCCTAAATTGTAGTTTCTCAGGATAGTTGTTGAATCGGTGTCTGAAGATTTCTGAAGCTTGGCTTATTGTTTTAGTTAATCAGTGTTTCTGAATTCTGGTGTCTTAATCGTCACAGTTTCATGAATCGGAATTTGTTGTCACAGGTATGTTTGAGAATGGACTTATTCAGCTTTGCTCCAGGGCCGTGAATTGCTTCAGCGGTGCTCCTCAACCACCTCTGGCACCGAGAAGAGCAAAGAGGACCGTTGCTGAGTCTTGCCTTGATTTCCTCAAGTGCGTGCTAAAGGCGTCTAAAGAGCTTTGTGCTTGATCCACGAGCCAATCTGAGAACAGGGATTGAATCTACTACTCAAGGGGACTGTGCCATCGTGACCATCATGTCGCACATGTTTTGCTATAGCACTTATCGCTTGTTCGTGTTGTAAAGTAACGTTTTATGAGGGTCAAGCAAATAGATGCCTAGTTCGATGTCGGCCAAGCAGGGCATACTCGTTGTCTTTCAGAATTGCGAACAGGACTTCCTGCGAAAGGCTTCCAACCTACAAGTTGCGCACATGGACTGCTGGGTTGGCGTAACTTCAGCTTACGTATATAGCTAAGTTTGTTCTACCTTAGTTAATTAGTTGATGTGAACATATGCAACACTGCAGCCTGCAGCTGTGTTTGCGATCCATGTGCATCCCCAAGCTTTTGCACATGTCACGTATGTGTGTGTGTGTGATGTGTTTGTATGTTTGTGTGTGTGTGTCTTTGTAGTAAGAATCCTTTTGGTTTGTTTTGAAACTTGTCGCTTTGTTCGGGGTCCAGGACATCATTGCAGTGGCCTTGAATGTCGCTCCAACTGTGCAGACTGGACCCAGATTCAGAGTCACCAAGGCACCTGCAGCATCGGGCGTTGAGCGGTTCAAGCCTTTCACTTAGTCGACTCACTTCGGCTTCGCCTGCGTGGGCCCGGCCGCCGAAAAGTTCACTCGGTCGACAGGTTTGTGATGATACTCTCCTGGAGATTGAGCCGAGTGAAGCTGCTGTGAGTTCCTTGGTGAGGAGATGAGCTTAGTCAGTAAAGGATAGTAAAGGCAGATGATTGAGAATGATTCTTGCCATTGATTGAAAAGATGGAACGTGAGCCCTGAAGATCAGGCGACTGGTCTTGAGTGGCCTTCACATATTTCTTGCAAGCGCGAGCCCCAGGTTTGGAAGATTTCTGGCCAAAGGATTGCCCGTTCGACTCCAAAAAGCAGCACTATGTCTACTGGGCCATCGCAGCTTGGTGAATCTTGTGAAAGAGTGGAGTTCAATTTGGTCGTGGATTGTTTTGGTTGCGAATTCCAAGCATTTTGAAAGCCAAGCACTACCAGATGAATGTCAACCACTGCCGAGCGGTTCTGATCATGTTTGTCTCAATTGCCAGAAATGGATGGAAGATTCTGAGGTAAACATGGTAGACAAACACATTTGTCATGGCACGAGATAGTTGTCGCCAAAGAAGATGTTACTGTAATAGAATTTATATAATAGATGGTTCTCCCTTTAAGTTCCTGTTTGTAAGTCCTACAGGTCCTACAGGTCTTTGCCTGCTTGAACACTTTATACAACAACCTATACGACACATTATAAGACAACCTTCAAGTGTGATGTTCTGAAAACCTTTTTCAACATGAGTAATACAACCTGCAGAGGTGTGCAGCTCTTCCTGCGACACCTGGACCATGGCCTTGGCGTCTCTCGTATGTGCAAAGCTTTCATGAATTGTAATAGACGCAGAATGAGGCAGAGAGCAAACAAGAAAACGAGAGTAGGTCTTTATTGCAAGACTATCGCTTGCCCGACTGCAAGACCGTGCTTTTCTTTTTGATACCTGCTGAGCTGGGTGTGCATGGGGTATACATTTGAGATGACCGTTGTAGCTGTGCTTTGCTGCCCGACGAATGCTTGCGCACTGACAGTGCTTGAGGTTGACCCTCAAGGAACTTTCAGACTATGGTGTTATTCTGACCCACGAATCTCGTGCCTAGGCCTGCAAATCTAGTTGTGCCCACGCACGAGAGAAGCAGGTTGTTTGGTGGAGGTCCAATTCTTTAGTTGAATATTGCACTTCAGTCCGTTCTTAATGGATTTTCCCACCTGATATTGCTAGAGGAATCATGAACCCAACATCAGTCTCGCTACATTTCAAACGCGCAAGGACCAGTGACCAACATTGTGGTGCTCAACACACCTACCATGGATGTGGGCGACCTTCTTCCAACAGCGGTAGTGTCAAGCCTGAATCAGCAGAAAGAATGTGCAAAGTACTAATCAACTGCGGGACCCGCGCATGGACTGCATTTTGGAGCTTGGCATGTGACTAGTGCCCATGGAAGGATTTGCAGAGCACAATGCCTTTAGCCGAGGAGTTGCTTGAGCCAGGATCCGGGGCCAGAGTTTCCATGTCGCTCGGCATTCTGACAAAAAATAGCATTGCTTTCGTCTCTCATGGCTAAGAAATACTCCTATTGTTTGTCCTATTCATAAACTAAAGAATACCCGGTTACCCAATTAAATTATATAACAGGAACTCCGCCATGAGAGCTGATAAGAGCTCAATTTGCCCCAGGTTCAGTACGCCAGCATCACAGTTGACGCTTAAGATGTTGGGCCCCGAAGTGCAAGAGAGACTTGGTTGGGGCCGCTTGACTTGCAAGTGCGGCTTCGCTTCAAGAGCTCACACACGCACGCACGCACGCACGCACACACACTCTGACATTGGTTTTCAGTTAACTCATTTCCAGGAAAAATGGTGATGGAACCGAAAGGTGAAAGCAAGAGTCGG